AATAATAAATAATAAAATGATGGTTGATACTTGTATACACTTTTTAAAGCCTAAAAAGTCTGTGTTTCTTAAATTGTCCATAAATGAATAAAAAACTTTCGCAAATATTTTTCATTTCAAATCAAACAGAAACAAAAAATGATTAAATCTAGTGATGAGAAAACTGACAAAAATGTTATAGTCACTGGAGTACATTGCATGTTTCACTGATGATCGGAATATGATATTGTCTCTGACAACATATTTTATTTCCTCCAAAGCTTTCTGCCAATGCAAATGACAGGCCAATAGCTGTGACATTGAGGTCATGCATCAAGTCGCGATCAATAACATTTGCATTATATAAAATAAAGGGTACCAACAAGTTCGACTATATTATTACCATTGTAATACATTCGTATTGTGAAATATTTGTTAAGTCCTTTCTCAAAATAAATTCTCCTTAAAAATCCCATGTTGCTGCATGTGGATTTTATAGAATTGTAGCTACATAGTTGAATTGGTTGAAAATAAAATAAAAATTAGCCTAGCTGCTAGAGAACAGTCCCTGCAGATAAAAAAATTGTTGACCAAATCTGTCAGGAAACCATTATGGATCAGGTGGAACAGTTTCCACAACATGTACTGTATTACTGTATATATATGTCCAGTGATTATTTTTGGGTGCGCCATTGCAGGATTCCCACAATAATATGCATTTCAAAATACTGCCCATAAGAATGGCTTTGAATTAATTACTGACTTTTGACACGCTGAGCGACACAAGTGGAAATAGACAAGTCTACTGTAATCAAACACACCCAGATACGTCATGTGACATGCATTGAAACACACACGGAAATCTTAAATATAACTATATTTGACCATGTAGTTTCTAAGATCAGAGCAGCGAAGAAGAGTCCCATAAGATCATACTGATAGTTCATAACTATACAAACATAATTAATGACCAAAAGAGTTCATAAATATACAAACATAATTAATGACCAAAAGTGTCTTTAACTTATGTGCTACTTTTACGATTCTTAGGAAATTTGGTCGTATGTTACTTGATCCAGCAAAATTAGGGTTTTATTTTTTTATATTATTTTATAAAACATTGAAAAATAAATGTCAGATGAATAAACAATGATATATTTTTGGATTTTCTTCACAAACAACTGCATTTTTCTGATTTTCTGCACAAAAACATTAATAGATTGCATGTACTTCAACTTTGGACATAGGCTGTACATTATAAAGCTTCAAACACAAATTCAAATGTCATTACTTAGTCTTAAGATGGAGCAGTGGGAATTGGTATGTACAGTAAATTTATCAGTATTATCACAGAATTAGATAAATAAGTCTGTAGTATTATAACTTTAATTGAAGCTTAATTAACGTTTCCTTTTAGATTAATTGTTTTTTGTTTTAGTAATATATGTATACAATGTATACATGCAACTTGCCCCACTTTTGCAAACAAAAAGGCCCCACATTGTTTTGCTATAGGGCCAAAACTGATGCCCCCTTAATACTGTAAGCAAGGCAAGAACAATAACTGCAATTGTGGCCGCATTCTTCTCGTGCACATAAAAAAGGTTATGGATAAATGAGCCAGTCTGTGAAACAAAATTCTTTAATCTAATAACTCAATTTCTGGAAACTTTGTTTCTTCGATGGTTATACAGGAAAATTGGTTATGATTTCTGTTACAAGTACATGTATTTTCCAAAAGCACACCTGAGGCCTTATGGTCAAATAAATTTGAACAATGGATTGGGCAAAAGTTATTACAACTTATATAATTATCATAGCCTTCTCCTGTCACTACATTTAGCATTGCATGATTTTAATAAAACATGAAGTATATATATTATTCCAATCTAATTAAAATTATATCTTCACATCGCTCCCGTTTACTGATATGTCGCGTTGAAGATCTAACAACATCCCGTAGAGGGTCACGTTCAGGCGACCTTTGCATTAACCAATCAGATGAGAGCTTACGCATTTCTGTAAGTGATGATGTAATGATTTTGGAACACACTTGCTATGATAAAAGACCGAGAGGTGTCAAATGAGCATCGAAAATGGCGGCGCCCATGACACCACGCCTTGTCTATCTACAAGACAACATTTGTACAATTTGTGGATTTTGCTTTGAAATAAGAGAGACTTCCTCTTCTGGTGATGTTGTCGTTAAAAGTTAAACAACCTGAAACTAAAATTTACCAATGACAGGCTTCGCAATATTCAAACTATCACTGGACCAGACGAAAAAGTGGATTTTGGGCTACGAGGTGTCTGCATTAAATGCTACAGGTCCTGCTTTCTGATTGGTTGAAAGAAAGAGTTATGCCGCGTTTTGATTGGCTTGTTATAAATACGATAATACATTCATGTTGACCTCTGACGTGACCCTCTATGGCATGTTGTTAGATCTTCAACGCGACATATCAGTAAACGGGAGCGATGTGAAGATATAATTTTAATTAGATTGATGTTATTCACACAGACGCATGTTTTTACTTCTTTCATGAAATTTAACTTCAATATAGCAAAAATTGTCAAAATCAATGTTAACTCAGTCTCTGTCAATAATGGAGAATAGAGAAAACATATTATTACAATATCAGACAAGGAACTGATTTATAATGAAAGAAATTGAATGTTAAATTTCATAAGTTCCTGTCTGTATAGATAATGAGATTAGTTTCACCACTTATAATCCCAAGCATGGGTAGGTCGTGACACCGGTCATCGACGTCTAAAACCATACTTATGTACTTACAGGACTTTATATGAAACAGGAGCAAAATTTAATTTATAAGTGAACATTTTATATGCCTTGAAACGACTTGCGTTAGTCCCGAAACATCTTGTGTTATGCCTGGAAATGTCTTTGGAACTCCCGAAAAGACTTGTTACTGAAACGACCTGTTACCCAAACGACTAGCATTCAATACCAGAATGTTTCTACAAATATAACAAGAGTACCGCTGGGCGGAACAATTTACTGAAATGAGCAAAGGGCAATAACTTTTGCAAAAATTGTTGAATCAAAATTCTTTTAGGGGAGACACAACTTCATATCATGTTTATATACTGTATACCAAGTTTCAAGAGATCCAAGAAATCCGTCAAAAAATGTAGGAGATCTCCAGACAAAAAATCAAATACTGAAATGAACAAAGGGCAAAAACTTTTGGAAAGAATTTTGAATCAAAATTCTTTTAAGGGAGACACAACTTTATATCATGATTATAATGTATACCAAGTTATAAAGAGATCGGTCGAAAAATGTAGGAGGAGATTGCCAGACAAACAAAAGTTTACGCCGGATGACCCCATACCATAATACTCCCGTCAAAATTTGACGTGCGTATAAAAAGAGAATGTGGGATCCTCAAAACTCTAAGCAGACGCTAGCGCTCTACCAATTGAGCTAACTGGTTGCCAACAATTGACCCAGTCCAGTTCTGCTACAACCCTCCCTCCTTTTTTTAAGTCCAGGCCCCCAATTTAAACTCAGGTTCAGATATCCCCTTACTAAGCATTTACCCAGTGTTTGACACAAGGGTTGACAAACTCGCCAATTTTGTAACAAGAGAAATAGCCTGAGTTTCCTCTGGCCCTGACACCAGACTTAAGACATTTTGACAGGTGTGGGGCCAGAGCGCACTACTATATATATGAAAACGTGGAATTCTCCGACACCATTTGGTGTCGTAGAGTTTTGAGGTGCTGACAACAAAAATCGTCTATGACAAAACACATACCTCACATATATTTTAATGGATTATTTATTAATCCAAATTACATCCGCCCTTTTATCACCAACATCTGCTAAATTCCATCATAAGAGTCCTCGGTTTACAATCGTTCAAAACTTCCCACCTGAGCAGACACCATTTTTGTATGTCAGGGTAGTGACTAATCAACAATCTGTACAGATCCGGACCGAAATCTTTTATTTCATGTTTAGAAAATTTCCGTACCGCTTTTTCTTGTTGATAGCAGCTCAAAACTCTCCCGACCCCAAACGGTGTCAGACCAGGGTTCGAACCTTGGACCCTCCGAACTCTAGACAGACGCGCTCTACCAATTGGGCTATCTGGTCGCCGATGATCGACCAGGACCAATTCCGAAACACAAAAAATAATTTGTGTTCAATGGTACATGGCATTTTAACTGTTCTTGTTTGCTCTATGATGCAAATTATTGTACTTGTGGGCTATATCATTATTTTTACTGACAGTTTTATGTACTTTCGTGTAAGTTAATCCCCGTTCATAGAGATCTTTGTAAGTAGGGTGCATCTCGTTTTGTGGAATCCATCTCGGGAAGTCGAGAGATCCAAACCTGGTTAGCTATACAGTACTGTACTGTAGACGTGTACAGTAGTATAGGGAGGACGAGTGGGGGGTGGGGGTAGTTGGAGCGTATGTTTGGGGAGAGTAAACCACCAAAGCACTACCATAGCCTCGACATATGCGTTTAATAGTCCTCACTTCATTTATTTTCAAAATCGTGGGCATAGTCTCGAAATTGAAACGTTGACGTTGTCGTACACCAAACATAACCACCAGGTGAATCAAGAACAGACATGCTTGATAAAACACGCAATATTTTCAATATTTTTACTTACGTCGATTGATTCTCCCATACTGAATAGATCCGCCATAGTATTACTTTAACAAATATATAGATCCCTCCATATATACCACAACAATGTCAGTCATTTCACATAAAATTGTCAATAAATTCCGTTTCAGTTCCATGTTTTCCGGGTGAATCTCGCCATGTTTTGAAAATCTCAAAGACGCGCCTCAACTTGAATCGGTTTTAGTCCAGCACTGAATAAAATAAATAATTGCAATAAAACAACGATATCTTTCTTGAATAAACACCCTTTTAAAAATACTTTACACGAAAAGCAGTTTGAATAATTATTGATTGATGTTACAATTTTTTAATATATTCTCAAAATTTCTGCTGTTCTAGTATTTCTGGGAAGACTCATCGGAAGGCGTTTGGTTCACGTGTGTTCCAGAAGATTCGCCGACAGAATATATATCAACACGAAGAAGGACTAGGAAAGAATTTGTCAGAAATATTACGAATATATGTATTCATAATTAACACCAAACAGTGATTTCCGACAGTTCTTACATTGAAGGCTTTAGCTAACAGAGAAATAATATCGGTGTAGTCGATTGACACAAAAAGAATGTCTGTTGTCGGCTTCGATTTGGGATGTCTCACCTGTTTTGTTGGTGTGGCGCGGGCAGGAGGCATCGAGACCATCGCTAATGAGTATAGTGACCGATGTACCCCGTAAGTATAAGCATGTCATGAAATATTTCAATTCATATCTTACTCACAAAAATTCACAATTGTAAAACAAAGTCACCAAGTATTGTTAAACCGCCATGCAGGTTTTCATGCCTCAAGAGGGACCGTTACGAAATATCAAAGTTGTCAAAAAAGTCACACTTTACAGAAGCAATTTGAATGTAATACACATGAACTCCTTTGGACCAATTACTCAAAATGTGGTCTTTCTTTAAACATATTAAAATAGTGTTATATAGGCCGAATAGTAATTACAGATGTGTCATGGATATAGAGGCACAAAGCCTAGCTGCGTCCATCACGATTTCTGCTAAATCCTAATATTCACAGTTTTGTGAATTATTATCACATATTTTGTGAGTATTACAAATTATGTATTAGTTGGGGCTGCAACATTTAGAAATAATGCAAGTCGGTTAACTGTGTTCTTAACTGAACCCAAACCGGGTTAAACCATGTTTTTTGTGCCATGAAATACAGCCACCAATAGCCCTTCATTTTGATAAAAATAACTCAATTCACTAAAATAAAATGCATTAACAAAAATAACTTGATACCTATTCCTTGTAAATAATGCTGAAAAACATTGCAGATTCGCAAAATCGTTCTGAATTGGCTACATATCGCTAGCCTCCCGCCTGGGGAATTTTCGTAGTTTCTCTTTACAATCATGTGTTGTCAACGCTATGCACACATATTTCTGCGCAACACTTCCGGTCGGAACATATACGATAGCTGCCGTTGAATGATAAGCTACATTGTTCAGCAGAATGTCAGTATACATTGCAAGTGTATTGATCATGAGAGTTTTCGTGGTTTGTCATACAGTTAGGAGCGACATTACTGACCGGGAAAACCATTCAATATGTACCAAACCCGGGTACTTAGTGAACCGTTCCAGCCCTAGTATCAATACACACACAAATTCACAAAACATACTTCTGATAATGGGTGTCCTGGTGGCTCTCCAGACTTCTTCAAATAAGTAAATTGCGTTGTCTATTTTGACTATTATGCCATATCTAGTTCATTGATGCATGGCCATCAGTGTAAAGGTTCGAGCCCACCTAATCCCATTTGTATGTCAGTAGAGTTTCCTGCTTTATCTCCCCATGCGGTTCTCACTGTGTACTACAGCTTCGATTCCTCCATCAATGAAAAGCAGACCTCCTGTAACTCCCTACTAGCTTTTACCTGCTGGTGTCGGGTGTGGTGGTGGTTGTAAATAATGATCCCCAAAATGATCAATAGGGTGGTTAGGGACCGAAGTGTCGGGGAGGTCAATGTTTTCGTATCAATATTGATTGTTCTCCATTGAAGTAGTTCAAGTCTTTGTTGAAACAAGGAGAAATGTTGTTGAACTGAGCTTAGTCATTACCTCGACCAGATATCTAAATTGGTTAGGACGTACGGGTGGGAATCAGGTAGAAATTTCATGATCAATCATCAGTTCATCATAACCAACCGATGATCAAATAATAATCGGTTACAATGAAATAAATTTAAAATGTGTAAACAGAAATTATGATAAGTGTATATATATATAATTATGTATTATAATGATCAAATATAAAAATGCAAAACTTTTGTTATAGTTTCATTTCAATCCCTTTTAAAATAACGAAACTGCAAATTCTTTTACTGAATGTAGCTCTCATAAGGTCATCGACTCCCATGTTCACTACGATAATGTTAGGGGTTACTAAGCCAGTACCATTGAATTCATATTCCTTTCTGCAAATTTTGCAGACTGCCGACTTCATTTTGAAGGTACTTTTTGTCACTGGCCCCTCTGCACCAATGTTTCTAATGAACACAACACTATGTGCCTTTTTACCGGGATATCATGGATGATAGCCGGCAACTCATTTTTTAAATCTGCCGCCATTCTGTACGATTGTACCAGTTACCTCCCCTTATACAGGAAGTCGTATGATGGAAATGTCCGGGCGTTGAAACGAGTGAAATTTATCACTTTCGCTATCATTTTTTTCTGTATGTAACATGTTTTTATGAGTTTGAAATGAATTATTCAACAGAAAAGAACTAGAATGAATCAATAATATCTACACATAAATTTTCCGACGAAAATCGTTTATATAATCTGTACTCGTTTAGCTGGTCCAACTAACTGATACTCGTCGAACTGGATAATTGGAACACCACTGTTAGAACGTCCTTCAGTTTTGAGGTCCTGGGTTTTTATCCTGGTCTGTCTTTTGCATTTCTTTTTTTCCTGTTATGTACTACAAACAATAAAGCAGTATTTCTGTAATCATGTTACCAATGTATTTTCCTGAAATTGGGATTGCTTTGTTAACTATTGATGGAAATGTGACCAGTGTACTTAAACCAGGAAATACTAATCAACAAAAACTTACAAGTAAGAAAAAGTACTAGTATTAGTTTCGAACCCTGATGATCAAGAAAACATTCATGTACTATACATTTTTATTAAAAACCAGTATCACAATTGGATTTGAATCAAAGATTATTAATCTTAGCCACTGAACATTGATATTTCAATGCCTTCTAAAGACCAGTTTTAGAACAAAGCAGGAAGAAGTTAATATGCTAATATGTTGACAAATTGTGCACACTTTCTGCATTATGCTCGTAATTTTCTGTTCATTCAGTTGTGCAGTTCTGATTTTACCTCATTTATCAGTTGAAAACAATTCTGAGAGTTGATTCCCCCCCCCATCACACCAACACAGCTGTTTATTATGTTCCTTTTAAATTTTTCAGAGCCTATGTGTCCATGAACGAAAAGAATCGCTGCATGGGAGTTTCTGCAAGAAATCAAAATACAACTAACCTTAAAAACACAGTATCCTCTTTCAAACGCCTGATAGGACGAAAGTTTAATGACCCCTTGGTACAAGAGGAGCTGAAAGGTTATTTTAAACCTTATGAAGTTGTGGAGGGACCTGAGGGAGAGATTTTGATACAGGTGAGAAACATTCTGGAGAAAATGGAAAACAAAAAATTCTGTTGCGATTAGTTTGATGTTTGGGCCATATATTTGGTAAAACAACTAGACTAAATACTTGTCATTAAGTTTTGAGTTATTCAGATATCGGGTGGAAGGTGCATGCAAGAAATCGTGCTTAAGCAGTAAAAGATCACAGTCAGCATAATATTATCTGTTAAAAAAATGTCTGACCAGAAACCTCTTATGATCTAGAAGTTGGTTAATGGTTCTGTTAATATTCTATAGGTGAATTACATGGGGGAGAAGCAGTCCTTCACACCATTACAGATGACAGCCATGTTACTGACCAAGCTGAAGGAGACCTCCGAGACCGGCCTTAAGACAAAAGTGGTTGATGTTGTTGTATCGGTATGTTCAAAGTCATATACTTGAAGTCAAATGAGGATGAAAACACAATCAGTAGTGAATATGTTGTAAACTGAAGCTCTGTGTGACGTTACACAGTTGCAGATCTGTTGTGTTTAACTACTTTTATTTGAAAAAGTTGTATTTTTAAGAAGACATTCACTCTTTTGTAAGATAAGGATGCAAGTATAGCTAGTATAATTTTTGTACAATGATGTCTTAATTATTAAAAACTCCTTTTTATTTAGGTTCCAGCATTTTTCACAGATATAGAGCGTCGTGCAATGTTGGATGCATGTCAGGTGGCTGGTCTGAATTGTCTCAAAGTCATGAGTGATACAACTGCAGGTGAGTTGGGGGTTAAATGGATCCTTTGGTTTCTAATATAACATCACAGTCATGATTAATGGGTGCAATGTTTGATCTGTTTGTCTGCAAGAGTGTATGATTTCCTTTTTAAAGTGCTAGCACACAGGCAGATATAAAAAAAATCTTCTAGCTGACATTTATTTATATATAGTAAATATTGAAACGCTTTACTAGACCTGACATAAAATCTTCTATCCTTTGGTGTTGGGGTGGTGGAATCATACACCTCTGTTCTGAACTATTTCTAGAAAAATGTTGTGATTCTTATACATATCAGAACTGTGATTCTCAACATGAATTTAAACATGTTCATTCTGATGTGGATTCAATAATCGATGATGTTCTTTTTAACGAAGTTCAAAGGGAGAGCACTCTTCCTGCTGTTACATCCCTTTTTGGATGTTAACATTCAGTAGAGTGCCAGATAAATGAGGATATCATTGACAGTTCTGATTGTAACCTGTGTCAAATCTGTCAATTCCTTCCCTACACCAGCACCTACATTAAATAAAGACACTTTTCGGGAAATGTTGTCATTTGAAAGTTATAGTTAAGATGTTACTGCACTTGTAAATCTAAGAATTGTCTGTATTATGACTTTTTCTAATTTAGATAATACATTACAGCTACAGGTGTTTTGTAGATTTGGAATGATTATAAATACTTGAGGCCTTTGAATATCTTAAAAAGTGAATTATTGATTTTTACAAAATCATAAAGCTCTGCAAGAGTGTATTTGGGATAAAATGTGCTAGACCACAGGCAAATGTAAAACTTCAACTAGCTGACTTTTATTTTCATATAGTAAATATTGAAACTTTCTTCTAGTCCTGACATAAAATATATTACCCACTGCTGTTGTGGTAGTGGAATCATACACCTCTGTTCTGAAATATTTTTAGGAAAATGTTGTATTTTCTTCTTATACATATCAGAACTGTGATTCTCAACATGAATTTAAGCATGTTCATTCTGATGTGGATTTAATAATCGATGATGTTCTCTTTGTCAAATTCAAAGGGAGAGCACTCTTCCTGCTGTTACATCCCTTTTTGGATGTTAACATTCAGTAGAGTGCCAGATAAATGAGGATATCATTGACAGTTCTGATTGTAATATGTGTCAAATCTGTCAATTCCTTCCTTACACCAGCACCTACATTAAATAAAGACACTTTTCAGGAAATGTTGTCATTTGAAAGTTATAGTTAAGATGTTACTGCACTTGTAAATCTAAGAATTGTCTGTATTATGACTTTTTCTAATTTAGATAATACATTACAGCTACAGGTGTTTTATAGATTTGGAATGATTATAAATACTTGAGGCCTTTGAATATCTTAAAAAGTGAATTATTGATTTTTACAAAGTCATAAAGTGTCCTATTTAAAGTGCTAGACCACAGGCAAATGTAAAACTTAAATATTGAAACTTTCTACTAGTCCTGACATAAAATATATTACCCACTGCTGTTGTGGTAGTGGAATCATACACCTCTGTTCTGAAATATTTTTAGAAAAATGTTGTATTTCTTCTTATACATATCAGAACTGTGATTCTCAACATGAATTCAAACATGTTCATTCTGATGTGGATTTAATAATCGATGATGTTCTCTTTGTCAAATTCAAAAGGAGAGCACTCTTCCTGCTGTTACATCCCTTTTTGGATGTTAACATTCAGTAGAGTGCCAGATAAATGAGGATATCATTGACAGTTCTGATTGTAACCTGTGTCAAATCTGTCAATTCCTTCCCCTACACCAGCACCTACATTAAATAAAGACAATTTTTCAGGAAATGTTGTCATTTGAAAGTTATAGTTAAGATGTTACTGCACTTGTAAATCTAAGAATTGTCTGTATTATGACTTTTTCTAATTTAGATAATACATTACAGCTACAGGTGTTTTGTAGATTTGGAATGATTATAAATACTTGAGGCCTTTGAATATCTTAAAAAGTGAATTATTATTTTTTACAAAATCATAAAGCTCTGCAAGAGTGCTGTTACATCCCTTTTTGGATGTTAACATTCAGTAGAGTGACAGATAAATGAGGATATAATTGACAGGGCTGATTGTAATATGTGTCAAATCTGTCAATTACTTCCTTACACCAGCACCTACATTAAATAAAGACACTTTTCAGGAAATGTTGTCATTTGAAAGTTATAGTTAAGATGTTACTGCACTTGTAAATCTAAGAATTGTCTGTATTATGACTTTTTCTAATTTAGATAATACATAACAGCTACAGGTGTATAGATTTGGAATGATTATGAATACTTGAGGCCTTTGAATATCTTAAAAAATGAATTATTGATTTTTACAAAATCATAAAGCTCTGCAAGAGTGTATTTGGGATAAAATGTGCTAGACCACAGGCAAATGTAAAACTTCAACTAGCTGACTTTTATTTTCATATAGTAAATATTGAAACTTTCTACTAGTCCTGACATAAAATATATTACCCACTGCTGTTGTGGTAGTGGAATCATACACCTCTGTTCTGAAATATTTTTAGAAAAACGTTGTATTTCTTCAGAACTGTGATTCTCAACATGAATTTAAACATGTTCATTCTGATGTGGATTCAATAATCGATGATGTTCTCTTTGTCAAATTCAAAGGGAGAGCACTCTTCCTGCTGTTACATCCCTTTTTGGATGTTAAAATTCAGTAGAGTGCCAGATAAATGAGGATATCATTGACAGTTCTGATTGTAACCTGTGTCAAATCTGTCAATTCCTTTCCCTACACCTACATCAAATAATAACTTTCTAAAGAAAAACTTGTCATTCAAAATTTATTCTTTAATGTGTTGCTGGAATTGCATCACACAAATGTTTGTATTATGAATCTTTTCTCATTAGATAATACATAACAGTTACAAGTGTTTTATAGCTTTTTAAAGAGTTATAATTTGACAAAATTTTAGGCTTTTGAATATCTATTTAAGTGGGTTAATTATTGATGTTAACAAAATCATCTAGTTCTACAAGGGTATACACTTTCCTATTTAGAGTACTAGCCCACATGGGGGTTTATTAATAGAATCTATCGCTACTGGTTGTGTAAGATAGAGAAATCTCAACCCGAGGACTAAGATTTTTTGTCCAGAACGAGGCTTGAGTTCTGGACAAAAAATTTTAGTCCTCGGGTTGAGATTTCTCTATCTTACACAACCAGTAGCGATTGATTATTTTTCTCCCATACCTAACAGTATTTTAATGTGAAATAAAGGATAACATGGACCCAAAACGCATACTGGCAATTTGTTGATGGATTGTTGACGTGACGTCAATGTATTGTTGAAGTGACGTTATGCCATTGTTATTAATAGGGGAATCCACCCGTCTCAACCCTAGGGCGGAGACATAAATCTAGCACCGGCAAAACGGGAGATAAATCTGTCAGGTGTGGGAGAAAAAATCTTACTAGTCCACCTTTATTTTCATATTCAGAATTTTTTTCACTAGTCCCAACACAAAATGTATTAGCCCTTGGCATTGGGCTAGTAGAATTTTACTTTCATGATTTTAATTTATTTGTGTATATGAGCTTGAGCAGTTTAAGAAGACTTTTACATTGACTATCTTATGTCATTCTATAAATGAACAATTTGTGTCTTGCAGCATCGCTGGCATATGGTATATACAAACAGGACTTACCAGCCGAGACAGAAAAGGCCCGTACTGTTGTGTTTGTAGACATGGGCTACTGTTCTACACAGGTGGCAGCTGTGGCCTTTAACAAGGGCAAGTTGAAGGTAGGTTGACTGGACGTCAGATATCATAACGGGTATTAAAACAGGACATTGCTTAAGGTAGGTTACAGGTAGACAAACTTGTAAGGTTACAGGTAGACAAACAGGAAAGGATTGAGGTAGGCATTTCCTAGGCAACAGATTTAGTGTTAAAAAGGCTTACAAGTGCAGGATATATTAAGCAAAGGGATAAGGGTAGAGTACGGAACACAGGGCAGGATAAATATTGGCACACACAGTCAGGATAAAGTTTGTCAAAGAAGGGCAGTATAGATGTAGGCAAACAGAGGTTGTCATACAGGTTTGAAAAAAAGTAGCTAAACAGAGCATGATGAAGGTAGATATTCAGAGGATAAAAGAAGACAAGAAAAGTCATTGCTTCATTATTGTACTGAAACAGTTTATTCCAGTGTTCTTTTCCTTATCACAGATCTTGGGCGTGGAATGTGACCGTAAACTGGGAGGTCGAGACTTTGACAATGAACTAGTGCAATACTTTGTGGATGACTTCAAAACAAGATACAAGGTTGATGCAATGACACGTCCAAAGGCACTTGTCCGACTGACCCAGGAATGTGAGAAGATGAAGAAGTTGATGAGTGCCAACTCAACACCTATTCCCATCAATATAGAGTGCTTCATGGACGACAAAGACGTCAGTGGCAGGATGGACAGGTAAAGCAAAAGGACATAACTTAAATATTGAAGTCTAAACAGGATGTCTGGTCACAGATTACATTATAAGTTCAAAAGATACAGTGTAAAAATAGGATTGATATTAAAATTGCATGTCCAAGTTTCTTTGTTAAATTGATAATAATAGGTAATAACACATTTTTAACCGGTTTACTCAGTAAGAATCAACAGAAAGTTAACGGAGCAGGCTTGTCTAGTCTTGGCTATGTTGGTTATCCATAATCTTCCAACATTTGTGAAGGCAATTCAGGCCTCTACTTTGTGATGTATTGCAAAGTAACTTCATTATCAAATATTAAAGCAAGTGGATAAAAGAATAAGACAACATTCATCAATATGCTTCAACAGAGTTATCCTTGTTTTGTATGGGCAATAGCCTACCTTCTGGTACCTTACATACTTCACTGTTCGCCGTGGATTGTTTTCATGATGACTGATCGTTTGAACTTGCATCTATTCAGAGGCTATGATTTTATATAATTCAGGTTTAACAATATAAAGACTTTTGTTTAAACTGACTGGATTTTTACCATAACTTCTATTGATGTTCATATCAAAATAATGGGTACCTCATAATAAATGTTTTATCGATCAATATAGGCGTCACAACTAAGTGGTATGTCAGGATCAAAGGACTAGTATCACAATTAAAGGTAGAATAGAGGTTTTAAAATTTATTGTCATCTCATAAGTTTCAAATGACTGTACAATTTCAAAGTTTTGATTAGGTGTCTATGAAATTTCCAGTCAAACAGATAGGAATACACATTAATTACCATTTCCAGTATCCTCATATCATTGTCAAACTCCCAGCTTTTTCTCATTGGCAAGACAAACTTGAGATTGTGACCATTCATTGGTATGTGAACTACTACTTTACCGTGTTAATTGTATTGATTTCAGGGAAAAATTTGAAGAACTGACAAAACATTTGATGGTGAAGACAGAGACATTATTTAAAGCTCTATTACAAAATACAAGTAAGTATGAACAGTGGTTTGACTGTAAGATGTTAAGCTCTACTCTGATTCACCTATTAAAAAATATAGTAAGTTTTTTAAGTGAAAAGTTACGACCATATAGTGATGACTGGAGACCACATCAACAGCCTCTTGTGATTCCTTTTCATGTCTAACCTTTTTTATTTGAACGTTATAAACTTGATGGCATTGCATGATTCATTAGACTGTGAATACAAAGTTTATTTGATTTAATTTTTCAGAACTATCGTCCAATGATATCTACTCTGTGGAGGTAGTTGGAGGCAGTTCCAGAATACCAGCTGTTAAGAACATGGTGCATCAAGTGTTTGCGAAGGACCCAAGTACAACACTCAATGCTGATGAAGCTGTAGCTAGAGGATGTGCTCTTCAGGTAAGTCTAGCGTTCATATTGAGATGTAATCTTTCATTTAGTCAGATATAATTAATATTTATGGTTGCAAAGGAAGTCAATGTAAAATGAAAACTAAAGTAGTTTCTTCAGAAAAATTCCAGATAAGATGTGTAATTACTCTAGGGGTCATTGAATTGACCAAATTGTACACATTGCAATACAGAAAGCCTATATACCTCTTGGTTTCTCGATTCCTACGACTTCTGTATTGAAGTAACTACCTCGCGTCACTTCATACAAGTTTTCTCTTACTGTTAAGCCATTTTGCCATGTATGAGCCTATTTTATCGATATGCCATCAAAGCATCATCAGAAAGAAGAGTTCTGTCACGAAGACTTTCTATGAAGAGAACAGAAATATTCACATGAGGGAAGTGATTTTTACCAATTAATTGAAACCTATTCATTATTTCAGTGTGCAATTCTGTCACCAACGTTTCGTGTGCGAGATTTCTCCATTATCGAGGCACAGCCCTTTCCTATAACACTGAGTTGGGAGGGTAACATGGATGATGATAAGTAAGTAATGCACATACCCTACACACCAACATATTACGGAATTATCTGTTTACACCCAAATGATGAGGAGGGGAGGGGGGTAAAAAAATTATGCTACACAAACCAAACCAGTTTGAGGGAGAAGGGTGTCAAGGTAATCAACTTTACACTGAACTATTAGAATATAAAATTAATTCTACACACACCAAAACATTAGAAGGTATTAAAGGGGCAGGTCGGGAAAAAATTACAAAATAAATGGGTCTAAATGCGTTCTCTGGCCTTCCAAAAGTTATACCACGGCAATATGATGGTCAAGTTCTGCTTGCAATGTCCAGTTTTGACCACTGAAATCTTGGGGAAGCCCCGCGTAAATTTAGCGCAGATCTATTTATATATGTCATATGGTTGTTTTGAAAGTGAGGCAGTGAAGATAACAACAATAGCACGCCGTCATGTGCCATGTCAGACTCACCTAGCGGCCAAGACAGCAATACTATACGTAAATAATTGTTTTCAAAGGTCATGTATGATGCAAGTGTAGTATTCCTACCTATATGTTGTTATATATAACGGTATTGATACCTCGTGCCTGTCATGACTTTTGCATGCACCTTTTTCTTTCGCCGCGATGTTTACATTTGGCCTTGTTGATGACGCGCATGCAGTAAAATTACATCACTGATCTGGGTCATTTGAGAGTTTTAGACTGTCAAGTGACATTTTAGGATTTCTTAAACATATTTATAATTTTTACTCTTAGGGAGTGAATTTCAGCAAAATTTGAATCGGTATGTTTCATAAGAAGGTATTTTAAACATGTGTATGCCATTTTAGCAAATATGACATTTTTTCCCCGACCAGCCCCTTCAAGTTTACTTTACACCTTAATATTGGGGGGTGGGGACAAATTTATTCTACACACAAATTATTTGGAAGGGGTGAGATGGGGAGGGGGGCAAATTTAACCTAAACACATCTAAACATTAGGGGAATCAATCAAATTACACAACATATAAGGATCACCAGATTGTCAAAAATAAACATTTAAATGTTCCATGATGTCTTATAATTAAGAAGAAGATCCTAAACAGGTTCTTGATGTTTATTCTCTTTCACATACTGATAATACTGCCTAACATTTCTTACTTAATAGTTAAGTATCCATCCAGGATTCCTAAAAGCCCTGTGACTGTTTCTGGATAATTTGGTGGTGCAGTTTTCAAGATATGCACTCCTAGATATTTGAATAAATGTGATTGATTTGACTTATCATTTTAGCACACTGGAAGTCTTCCCGAAGTTTCACCAGATTCCATTTGCCAAGATGATGACATTTTATCGCAAGGAACCATTCCAGCTAGAATCCTATTATTCTAATGCTAAAGATGTACCAATCCCTAACCCACATATAGGTAGGTATTGTGTAGTTACTGCTATTATCATCATGCAGGGAAAATCCTGGAAATTGAGAGCAATGGGTCATTTTCAACAGTTTTTAGTAAATATCAAAATTAAGAGGGGCCATTCTATGTAAAATTAAAGGACATTTTGAACATGGAGGGGTCAATTTCAATATTAAGGGGTCAATAGCCCCGTCCAGGTTTATCCCTGATCATGTATAGACAAGGAATGATGCCCATAAGATAATTTACGTACAAATCTCTTTCTAGTCATGTTATCAATTACATTCCAATCAACTCTGAAAGATAAGCAGGTAATAACAACTACCACTTTTAAATACTTTTGGTAAGTCCTGGCTTAGGGGCAGAACCCATTGCCTACCTCACTTGGGTGATCCCAAATTTCGCAAGGGGTACAGCAGATTTATTGTGGTTACTTTTGTGTCTTTAAGTATAGAGCACAAAAAACAGATTCCCAATTATGTAGGGGGTTCCTACATTACTTTTGCATCAACTGGTTAACCTGCCATCATTATAATGTGACTGGTTTAAGTACTGTGCTAGGTGCCAGTTATGTGATCAATGTTAAGACGAGATCTTTGTTACTGATACATCAGATAGGACATGCATCAGGAGATGTCACATTTTCTGGTGTGTTGCTAGGAGAATGCACTCATTTTATCACTTTGTCTGTTCCAGGACATTTCAATGTTACCAAGGTCACACCTCAGAAGGATGGGTCAAGTTCAAAGGTCAAAGTTAAGGTCAGGGTCAACAACCATGGTATTTTCACAGTATCTTCAGCCTCAATGACTGAGAAATTGGAGGATGAAACTCAGGCTGACCAGAATGGACTAGAGGCTATGGACACTGACTCAACGGAAAAGAAGTCTGATGATAATGGACAAGGAGATGCGCAATCACAGAACACCACAGATGGACAGACCCCAGATGAGGTAAGACACATGTAACGGACAGACATACCTTACACAAGGCGGGTAAAACACTTGTAATATACAGACATACCTTACACAAGGTAGGTAAAACACCTGTAAGGTACTGACATACCTTACACAAGGTAGGTAAAACACCTGTAACGTACAGACATACCTTACACAAGGTAGGTAAAGCACCTGTAAGGTACAGACATACCTTACACAAGGGAGGTAAAACACCTGTAAGGTACAGACATACCGTACACAGGGTAGGTAAAACACCTGTAACGTACAGACATACCTTACACAAGGTATGTGAAACACCTGTAAGGTACAGACATACCGTACACAGGGTAGGTAAAACACCTGTAACGTACAGACATACCTTACAAAAGGTAGGTAAAACACCTGTAAGGTACAGACATACCTTACACAAGGTAGGTAAAACAACTGTAACGTACAGACGTACTTTACACAAGGTAGATAAAACACCTGTAAGATACAGACGAGGTAGGTAAGACACCTGTAAGGTACAGATGTAGTAGGTAAGACACCTGTAAGGTACAGACGTAGTAGGTAAGACACCTGTAAGGTACAGACGAGGTAAGTAAGACACATATAAGGTACAGACAAGGTAGGTAAGACACCTGGAAGGTACAGACGTAGTAGGTAAGACACTTGTAAGGTACAGATGTGGTAGGTTAGACACCTGTAAGGTACAGATGTAGTAGATAAGACACCTGTAAGGTACAGATGAGGTAGATAGGACACCTGTAAGGTACAGACGTAGTAGGTAAGATACCTGTAAGGTACAGATGAGGTAGGTAAGACACCTGTAAGGTACAGACGTGGTAGGTAAGACACCTGTAAGGTACAGATGCGGTAGGTAAGACACCTGTAAGGTACAAAAGAGGTAGGTAAGACACCTGTAAGGTACAGACGAGGTAGGTAAAACGCCTGTAAGGTACAGACGTGGTAGGTAAGACACCTCTAAGGTACAGACGCGGTAGATAGGACACCTGTAAGGTACAGACGAGGTTGGTAAGTCACCTGTAATGTACACACAGGCCCCAAACAAGGTAGATAAATCACTTGTAAGGTGCAGATATACCCCAAAAGATTGGCTAGATATTAAAAAAATGAGACTTAACTGTAGAACAAAAGAATGTATTAGAATTTAGAAAATTAGAAAAAATTCTATCCTCATGGCATTAAAATATGCAGAAATATCTATTTAAACAAGGTTTCATATTGTTATTGTAAGTTCTATAAGTAAAATGCTTCTTCATTAGAATATCTGGTAAGTAGTGGTTATCATTGCACTCTGTCTTAACAAGCAGAATCATCTCCATGATTAATGACTTGAAGCTCATGGCCATCATAGAATGAATAATTTTCAAGTGCATTGGCTTTTTAGGTCACCTGAGACAAAGTCTCAAGTGACCTATTGCGATCGCCCACTGAATTAATTGACTAAAATTTCAAAAATCTTCTTCTCAAGACCCAGTTATGGTAGAATAAAATACTCTTCATTGATGGAAGGGTCTTAATGTGCTTTACCAAAATTGTGAATTTCTTGGCCCTGGGGTCTCATGTTTTCCCCTGGGGAGGGGGTAAACTTTACTATAGTTTATATAGGGAAATCACATTTTGGACCAACATTTGTTTAATTTCCATTGGAAGTAATTCAATTTAGGTTAGCATTATCAGTATTAGGTAGCAGTTTGATAGTATGCACATATCAGCCCTGACTGACCCCCCGGGGCTGATGGGCGGGGCCAAAAAGGGTTGAATTGACTGAAATTTCAAAAATCTTCTTCCCAAGACCAAGATATGGTAGAATCAAATACTCTTCATAGATGGAAGGGTCTTAAGGTGCTTTACCAAAATTTATTATGGTTTATAATGGCAAATGATACTTTGAATATTACATATTAATAACTTGATTGGAATTATAACCTTTAGTTTACAGTTTGATACTTTGAACATTTTGAGCCAGCCCTACCCCCAAGGGCTGTAGGGTGGGGCCCAAAGGAGTAAGTGTGCTAAAATTTCTTCATTATTCTTGTTTAGAATCAGAGGTGCTAGTTTCAAATACTTTTAGACTTAAATCTGTATGCTAGTTATTGAATAAGGTGGTTTTCTTGTTTTTTTGTCACTTTGAGTAATATTTCTGTACACGTTAAAAACAAAATCAACTCTCTGTATAAATATATCAGGTGACCATTAAGGCCCATGGGCCTGTTGTTGACTCTAAACAAGTACATGTTTTGATGAGATGGGTATGGCGAACATGAGATGAAAGGTTTCTTATGTAACAGCCTGATAGAGCAAGGATTATTGGGAAATATGAAACCTGTTTCATTTGAAGGAAACAATTTATTTCACGGAATGAAATAGTAAATATATATTGTTTCTAAGGTTCGGTTAGTCTTAAAATGTATGAAAAAGTTCTCACAGAGGCTTTGTATTTTGTTTAAAAAAAATCACATAAAGTATGATAACTACTTACTGAAATAGCAATAGCTGATATAGAAGCTTACTACGGTTGTAAGATTTTTATGTGTATTTGTTACAGACCCCAATGCAAACAGACCAAGAGCAACAGTCAAATGAGCAGTCAAGTGAGCAGCCAAATGAGCAGCCAACAGAAAAGAAATCGGTAAGTGCTTTGAATTCTTCAGACACATGTATCTTACTGCCTACTCTGTTATAATTACTCACTTAATTAATTAAAATAATTTATAAGTAACAGTAGGTCCATATTTTATTTTACTTAAATTTTAAATTTGATAAAAGGTTTGTATTATGAATGTTGTGCTGTTTCATGAAAAAAACAAATAATTGATTGTCTGGAATAATTGTAGGAAGAGAAAAATGATGAAAAGGAAGAGAAGAAAAAGAAGAAAAAGACAGTAAAAGTTATAGACCTACCAGTTGAGTCCAGAGTGCCCCAGATGGCCAGGGAGCAGGTACACCTCCTGGTGGAGAAAGAGGTTTGTGTACATTATGACTTTTGGGAGGGGTTGGGAACATGTTCAGTGTCTTGTATTTGTGAGGTTTTTAATTGCTTGAAGTACAAAGTCCAGAGTAAGTATTTAAAAAAATGCAAATTAATATTATATGATGTAGGAAAACATTCCTAAACTGATACATATATTTAGTTTCAGAAGTTTCAATTTCATACCAATATTGATCACAAATTCAAATGAACATATGTTTAGTAATAGAGTTATACATTTTCTGTCTGTTTGATCTTACACAGAACCAGATGATCATGCAGGATAAGTTGGAAATGGAGCGATCCAATGCAAAGAATTCTGTGGAGGAGTATGTGTATGAACTTCGTGAAAAACTTTATTCCCAGCTGGAAGAGTTCGCTAAGGAGGAGGTAAGCATGAATCGTAGTTTTTGTACCCTGTTTTAGAAACTGGTTGTGGATACAAATTTTGAGTGAATTATTTTCTTCCGCCATGTTTAGGCCTGGATCTGATTAGTTTTAGGTCAAGGTCAGAGGTCATAAAGAAATGTTCTTATATACACTGTTTCTCTAGGATGAGGTGATGGATGAAGACCAATCTAGTACCATAACTGACCATTGTAAAGGTCTGATGAGACTGACTTCATAGATCGAGGGTAAAGGTCAAAGTCAGAAAAAAGGTTTTAGATAAAGGCTTATAATCTATGCCAGTTTTGACTTATGTTGCATATCCCAAAATGATATACCATTAAAAATCTTAAATTGGGACCAAGTTCTTTTTGGAGAAGTTTCTCAAATAAATTACCTGAGTTGTGACAATTTTTTCTAGAATGCCAGAGACATATATTGATTGATGAATACTCAAATTGACACTATACCATGTATTCCTCCTCAGAAATTATGCAAGTCTGACAGCAATTATTTGCTTTTGGAGCTAAAGAAGTAATTATGTTCCTATTTACTGATGAAGTTATTTGAAATACTTATTTTTAACTAAAATTTATCGCCGTTTACAGGATCGCTCATCATTCAGTAAGAGTCTAAGTGCTACAGAAGACTGGCTGTATGATGAGGGAGAGGACCAATCAAAGCAGGTGTACATTGATAAACTGGCAGAACTCAAGGTGAGGCTAATAAGGGTCAAAAGTGAATGTCTAATGGCTAACTGATCTCAAATTGAGGCTCATAAGGGTCAACATTTTATTATCTCTGATGACCAACTGAATTCAAGGTGAGGCTCAATAGGGTAAACATTAACTATGTGTTATAAATATGACCTAAATAAAATCAAAACCCTTGGATCAAAGGTTTGTTGTTTATTATTTGACTGACAGATCTTGAGGCTTATGGGTCTAACTGTTTAATCTGTGATGACTGGTAAATCACAAGGTGATGCTCACAAGGGTCAAAGATTAAATAGGTGTAACAGTAGAGAAAAAATGCCAGACGGATCTCTGAACCCTAGTCACTGAACTCTGGGGTTGGTCAGTGGTTTCAGCACAGTAACTTGATTATTTAATTTTGACAAAATTTTAATGAAACTTGGTCTGTATATAAACTACAGTAAAAAGTTTGCAATTTGAGCAACATTGGCTTTTAACTAAGCAGCACCCAGAGTTTTTGATTTTGATTTTACAGTAGTCATTTAAAATGAATTTGATTATGGGTAAATGGTAGTGATATCTAGAAAAAACAACTTTTATATGATTTGAAATATTAGGAAAGGAAGAAGATCCCTACTCTGTTAAATAAGTAATTTTGAAGGTATTGAAGAATATGTATTTATTTATTTTATACCTGCAGCTAATTGGAAGTTATTTTTCTCTTTTAACCACATCATAGAAATCAATCTTTACTCAGCAACATAGTACAAATGTAGTTTCTTGTTTCATTTTAATATTTTCATACAATTTTGTTAACAGTTAGTTAGTCATTATTGTTATATAATGACCTGTAAAAGGGTGCTTCTTGACAAAAGACAGGCATGTTGTACTGCCACTCCGCTAATCGTTACTGTGAGTGGTTAATCAGACCAGAGTTTTAAGTCAAATGTTTTTTGGAGGCATCTTTTATTATAAGAAATCAATTTTGAGATCATGTTGAAAGTTTTACATGAAATTGTTATTTGCTTTTTTCCAGAAAATGGGAAATCCCATCCAGGAAAGGTTTAATGAATTCCAGGATAGACCACAAGCATTTGAGGAATTTGGAAAGTCAATCATGTTGGTGCGGAAGTTCCTAGATCTTTGCTCTCAAAAGGTGAATATGTCATTGTAGTCACATATACTGGTACATAGTTTTGCCCTATCTTATAGAAAAACAAGGAGAACAGTGGATATGATTGTGTTTAGTGACTGGTACAGTATTGTGGAATACCGCTTTTAAATATTTCTTCAAATCTTTCCATCTAAGAAATTTAACTTGGGGAGAAAGCAAGTACTTATAAGAAGGACTTGGAAATGTTGTTCAGTAATTCAGAATTTATGAGTAATAGCCCTGTTTAAAAAAGCGTTGGTGACAAACCGCACCATAGTTGCAGAACAATTTATAACTAATGCATATACATTGCATCATATTTATGTTTGTCAGGACGAGAAGTACAGTCACATTGAGTCTAAAGATGTAGACAAAGTGGCCAAGTGTCTAAAGGAGAAGGAAGACTGGTACAACAGCAAACTCAACCAACAGAATAGCATGAAAACATATGAAAAACCTGTTGTACTAGTGTCACAGATACGACAGGAGAAACAGGTAATTACGACTACCTTCCGAACGCCCTGAACACAGAACACTAGGCTCACAAATATAAAAAGAGGAAAGATAGATACCCTCCACCTGATCAATAGAAACCCCTGACAACATCAGAAAAAACATCACTAATGTCACAGATATGACAGGTAGATACTCTTCCTCCCATTCGACAATAGAAAATGTAATGTATCAAATCTGATTAAGGTCAGAAGATAGGCTTCGACAGAATAAATAGTTAATTGATTAGTTTGGATGTCTCTGTTGCAGCTCTTAGAAAGCACTTGCAGTCCGATCATGAACAAGTCCAAGCCTAAACCCAAGGAAGAACCTCCCAAGGATGACAAAAAGGAGAAGAAGAACGAGAAGGAAACACCCATGGAGAATGCCAAGTCAGATGAACAACCTACAGCTGAGTCAACAGAGGCCCCAAAAGTGGACATGGATATTGATTGATAATTGTTTTGTTAGATTGATTGTTATCGTTAGGGGCACTGCTGTTATGGCAGCGACAGTGGGATCACCAAGACTACTTGTTATGGAAAGACCACTTCAGGTCTTGCAGCTTTGCATGGTTAATTAACATTGGATTTTCCTGTGAAGGAAATATCGTAGAAAGTGCTTACTTTTCAATGTGATCATTGTACATATTTCAGGATTCTACACCATTGTATGGTGTGGCTAGCTGAAACGATCTAACCTGTGTGAGGACTGCTGAGAGGATCTAACACGGCACCACTGATCAAAGCAAGCCTCTACAGCTAACAGGATACTTGTTGTGAGAGTATTAGCTTTTCTATTGAAGCCTCAACAGTGTACAGTGATTGTAGCTAAGTTATGGTCAACAGCACGGCCACAATATTCATCTTCTAACGCTGAATGATGAGTTTGTCATCTTACCTTCATGAAGAGGCAGGACAAATGAATTTACATTAGCTTGGTGGATGTTACATGAACACATGAACAAGTCCACAAAATAATGTGCGAGTGTTAAAATGTTTTCTGATGATATACAGCATTAACATAAATGTCATGAAACCAGATTGATTATCAGTTGTAAATCATTCCTAGTTTGAGCAGTTCACCAACTGAGATCACAGACACATTGAGACAATATAGAAATGTTACCGGTGTCCTGTAACTTAAATTTTGTCTCTGTGTGTTCTCACTATGGATCAAATAGGTTAAGCCGTTATTTATTATTCCTGCAATCAACTAATCTTAGTCACATCATAGTTCACTGTACATTCTTTTTTTTTCACAGTGCTCATTTCTTGATTTTAGATTTCATCAAGTACATCAACATACCATACTCAAACTAACAAGTGCCCAAGGTACTAAGCATTTTGGGAAAATAAAAATTATTGCACTTTCTCACTTTGGTCCATTATGTTTGAAGAAACGAGATACTTAGACAAGGATAGAGTTGGACATTTGTAAGGTTGAATATGACAATTGTATTTCTAGTCCACTTGCACAGGAGATTCCACATTTTTGAAAGCAAGAACATGTACTGAAAATGGTAACTGGAAATCTCTTATCTAATCAGGTCTTTCTAATTGATTTCCCCTGTCAGCAATTTCAAGAAGATAAAGAATTCTGCCTTCGTTTCATGTTCAAGTGGTTGAAGCATCTGCATGCTTGTCATATACATTTTAGGTGGTAGTTCATGCAATTCCTACCTTTGCTTATCATTCAGGTGTTGAAGATGTCAACAAGCTTGTTGGTCAAAGTTGTAGTTTGTGTAAATCACATATTTATCGAGACCTTTTAGAAATATTGATCTTCGGAAGACCTATGGAAGATAGTGAGGATCTTAGTGTTGCATTTATGGTCTCTGTCAACTTTGTAGACAACACCCATTTCTTATTTTTCAGTGGATTGTTGTACTCTGCTGCTTATGAATAGTCCAGATTAATTCAAATCTTTTAATGGGATTTTATTTAGTATGAGAAAATTCATGGATAATACAGCAGGTTTCCTGACCCTGTTAGGTAACGCACTGATCAACCTGTATTAGGTAAGATTAACACTAGTCTCCTCCAGCAGCAATTAAGCTTTTGAATCAATCTGCACACTATTTATTTGAATTTGTACCATTCATATGGTCAGTTATGATGAATATGTCTGAAGAAAAAAAATTATAAAAAATTTATGTTAAAAATTTGTGTTCGTTGTTTGTCAACAAGAAGCTTATGACCAAGAGTAAAGTCGAAAAGTTTGTATCAGACCTTGTCAGTCTTATCAGTATCCTCAGACACTAGAGCTGTGAATACAGTTCATTGAATATTAGTAAATTTAACTCCGGCAGGAATTCCAATATTAGTACTATAGTATATTTTCTCAAAGGTTTTGGTCAAATAGCACCCTGGGTATTTTTTTTGGAACAGGAACAACATAACCTTAAACTGTTGAACCTTGTACTTCATTTTACCTGTATCACACACAAGAGCGCCTTAGCTCCAATAATTTATGTACTTATAGTTTACCCTAAGCCTCGCTTCGACTGAAGTTGTGGGTATCTAGTATTGGCAGACTCCGTCCGTGCATACTGTGGCTTCTGAAGCCTGTTCCGTTTACTATTTCATGAATTGGCATCAAACTTTTTATGTATTAAATCATGGGAAGGTGGTGTGTCGCATCCTAAAACAGCAAGCTGTTGGAGAACAGCATAGCTCGCCTATTGGTGATATATGTTATAAGATGGCAAATATCAATAGAAACAAATGTATAGTAAAACGGCAATATACTGCCCATCATTTCATTTGCCACCTCACTTACTGCCAACATATTTAATGTTTAATAATCTTTTTCTTAAGAATTCCTTATACGTTTCCCTCAATTTAATCGCCAAACCCCTTTATAATGCCAACATTTCTTTGAACAAATGATGGCAATAAAACAAGGTGTTGCTGTACCTTAACATGTAAGAAGAGATGACCAGCCAATGTGAAATAGTCCACAGCGTATTGATCGTGGTGACCGATCTAACACTGCACAAAAAAACTTGTCCAACTTACCAGTTTTGGCCCCTAAAATAATGAAAATATAATTCAGAACATTGCTTAAACTCCATGTAAATACTCCAACTTTATAACAGCCTACTGATAGTGGTGATCCAACACTACACAATACAAGAGACCCAATGGGCCTGCATCGCTCACCTGGTATTAATTTCACACTTGTAATCTTAAAAGTGGACTAAAATACAGCAACAGGCAGAATATCAGTGTTTGATTCATAAGAACTTATTAAAAGATTTAAACATGACGCCTGTGACCTTGAATGTCGAACAAGGACATTAGGTTGAAAGTGGGTCAAGAACATTCATTTGAGTAAACTTGGTAGCCTTTCATCCTAGCATGCTACAGGCCCAATATCAATACCCTGGACCTTTTGGTTATTGAGAAGAATTTGTTTGAAGATTTTAAGACATTTGACCCCTATGACCTTGAAAGTGGGTCAAGGTAATTCATTTGATCAAACTTGGTAGCCCTTCACCCCAGCATGCTACAGGCCCAATATCAGTACCCTGGGCCTTTTGGTTATCAAGAAGAAGTTGTTTGAAGATTTTAAGACATTTGACCCCAGTGATCTTGAAAGTGGGTCAAGGTCGTTAATTTGAACAAACTTGGTAGCTCTTCATCCAAGCATGCTTCTGGCCAAATATCATCACCCTAGGCCTTTTTGTTACTGAAAAGAAGTTGTTTAACGTAAAAAGTTGACACCGGACTGACGACGGACGCGGCACTATGCCATAAGCTCACTTGGCCCTTGGCCAGTTGAGCTAAAAATTTGGCATAAAAACTTTAGCCTCAAGTTTACCAAAAACAAGAGGCCCAATGGGCCTGCATCGCTCACCTGGTATAAATCTCACACTTGTAACCTTAAAAGTGATCAAAATAAAGCTACAGGCAAAATATCAGTATATATGATTAAAATTCCTTCAAAAGACCCATTTAATTTTTAAAACATTTCATCCCTGTGACCTTGAAAGTCGAACAAAGTCATTATGTTGAACAAGTTTTATAGCCTTTCATTTCAGGATGCAACTTGCAAAGTATCAACATCCTGGGACCCATGGTTATTCAGAAGAGGTCGTTTAAAGATTTTAAACAAATTTGACCCCTGTGACCTTGAATATAATTCAAAGTCATTCACTTTAACAAACATAGTAGTCCTTGATCCCAGCATGCTACTGACTAAATATCAACATCCTGAGCCTTTTGGTCATTCAGAACAAGTTGTTTAAATATTTTGAACACATTTGCTCCTTGTGACCTTGAATATGATTCAAGGTCATACATTTAAACAAATGCGGTAGTATGCTTCTGACTAAATATCATCACCCTGGGCATTTTGGTTATTCAGAAGAAGTTGTTTAAAGTTTTTAACATGTTTGACAACTGAGACCTTGAATATGGATGAAGGTCATTTATTTGAACAAACTTTGTAGCCCTTTATCTCAGCATGCTACTGGTCAAATATCATCACCCAGGGCCAGGGCATTTTGGTTATTGAGAAGTAGTTGTTTAAAGTTTTTAACATATTTGACCCCTGTGACCTTGAATATAGGTGAAGGTCATTCATTTGAACAAACCTTGTAGCCCTTTATCTCAGCATGCTACTGGCCAAATAGCATCACCCTGGGCATTTTGGTTATTGAGAAGAAGTTGTTTAAAGTTTTTTTAAGACAAAAAATTGACCCCTGTGACCTTGAATATAATTGAAGGTCATTCATCCTTTGAACAAACTTGGTAGCCCTTCACCCAAGCATGCTCCTGGCCAAATATCATCTCCCTGGGCAGTTTGGTTATAGAGAAGATGTTTAAAGTTTTTAACATTTTTGACCCCTGTGACCTTGAAAATGGGTGAAGGTCATTAATTTTAATAAACTTTGTAGCCCTTCATCCCAGTTTGCTTCTGGTAAAATATCGACACCCTAGGCCTTTCGGTTATTAAGAAGAAGTCGTTTAAAAGTAAAATATTGACGCGGGACGCCAAACGCTACAGCATAAGCTCACTTGGCACTTCATGCCTCAAACTTGCCCCAAAAAACTTTAACCAAGTCCAATTAAGCTGTGTTTTGCCCCTTAAATATAACAAGAGGCCCAGGGGCCTTAATAGCTCACCTGGTATTTTATTTTTCAATTTAAAACCTGCTGAGTACCATTCAGGTTTATCAAAGGAGTACAAGTAACAAAGTTGCATCTTCCATTTATAAATATTCAATTCCCTTTGCCCAAAGATTCTCTAAAACAAGTTTGGTTAGGTTAAAATCCCTTCAACGGTACAGAAGGAGAAGGATCTTTAATGTTTTCCTCTATTTCCCCTAATGGGCCCCACTAATCTGCCCCAAAGAAGGGGAATCCACACACCTCAGTTTAAACAAAATTGATTCTTTTCTCCCTAAGCATGCTTCAGACTGCATTTGGTTTAAATCCCTTCACTTGTATAGTAGGAGAAAAAAAATCCTCTATTTCCCCTATTGGGCCCCGCTCCTATGCCGCCAGAAGGCCCACACCCTCCGTTTATACAAACTTGAGTCTCCTTTGTCCAAAGATGCTCTAGGACAAATTTGGTCAAAATCCTTCAATTGGTTGAGGAGAAGATTTTTAAAGATTTACCTATTTTCCCCTATTTGGCCCCGTCCCTCTGCCCCCAGGGGGACCATACCCTCCGTTCATACAAAACTGAGAACCCTTTGGCCAATGATGCTCCAGACCAAATTTGGTCAAAATCCCTTCATCGGTACAAAAGGAGAAGGATATTTGATGTTTTCCTCTATTTCCCCTAATGGGCCCCACCCATCTGCCCTTAGAAGGAGGCCCACACACCTCAGTTTATACAAAATTGATTCTTTTGTCCCTAATCATGCTTCAGACTGCATTTGGTTAAAATCCCTTCACTTGTATAGCAGGAGAAAAAAAATCCTCTATTTCCCCTATTGGGCCCCGCCCCTCCGCCCCCAGAGGGGCCACACCCTCCGTTTATACAAACTTGAGTCTTCTTTGTCCAAAGATGCTCTAGGACAAATTTGGTCAAAATCCTTCAATTGGTTGAGAAGAAGAACATTTTTAAAGATTTACCTTTTTTCCCCTTATTTAGCCCCGCCCCTCTGCCCCGAGGGGGGGCTATACCGTCCGTTTATACAAAACTGAGAACCCTTTGGCCAATGATGCTCCTGACCAAGCTTCAGACTGCATTTGGTTTAAATCCCTTCACTTGTATAGTAGGAGAGAAAAAATCCTCTACTTCCCCTATTTGGCCCCAACCCTCTGCCCCCAAAGAGGCCACACCCTCCGTTTATACAAACTTGAGTCTCCTTTGTCCAAAGATGCTCTAGGACAAATTTGGTCAAAATCCTTCAATTGGTTGAGAAGAAGAAGATGATACACTCGATATAAATGACTTAACCTCATAATAGACAACAGTCTGATGATCCAACACTGTCTGGAAAAAACTTGCCCAAAACCTAAGCTACCTTTATTTGTTCAGGGCATATTTCGGCCACTGTTGCATGAATGGCCATCACACTTTGTTAAATAGGTACACAGGGAAAGCAGTGTGTCACATTCAGAAATGAGGTCATTGTGACCTTTATTTGGCCTTAATTAATGAAACATGGTGTACTACAGGGCCTGTGTTCGTGACACCGTTTTCATGCTCAAGTCCAGTTTCTTGATCCAGTGATAATTTAGTATATAATCATACTTCGTCAATGATATGTTAGATATTCTGAGGGACTTTAACCGATGACTGTTTTCAGTGTTTACAATTGACTTTTTGATTACAAGATTTAAGCAGGTTACAACAAAGTCTGCTTGAGCACAGAAATCATGCTTGGGCATAAGAATGGTTTCATGAATATGGGCCCAGGTTTCTGAAGTATATCTTTACTACCATTTCATATATGGACTTAAGATTTGGTACAAGTGTACATTATAATCAAACAAATGGGTTCAATTTAACCTCGGCAACATTTAAACACAGCATGGGCTAAGGTCTGGGAAACTACTTCTACCATTTTATATACGAATGTCAGACTTTTAAGAAGGTAAGGTAGTCGGTGTAGTGAAGCAGAATGAGGTTCATGAGGCTACTGTTCATCTCGTTTAATTTGACCTCAAGTACTGAACGATGTTTATAAAGGAACAGATATGCGGGGAGAGGGGGTATCTTAAGCCCCTGCTGTAAGTTAAATTTAGTCAAGATCCACGAATAATGTGGAGAAATCCAGAGTCCCTCAGTGGTTAGAAGTATGCAATGTTAGAATAGGGAAACATTTTGTTATTGTGTCCAATCTCATATAAAACAATATCAAGATGTACCTCATTGACAATTTTGTAATTCATGGTGTTAAAATAGAAGATATACATGACCAAACAATTTCAATGATTGGGGTCAAAGTTAAAAATATAAGCAAGTCACTTTGCCATCTGGTAATACACCAGATTATCTAATTTGGTATCTTCAGGTGAATGGATACAATAGATTTGTCATAACGTTTGGCCCAAAACATGGATGGACTTTGAAGTGTAAACCTTAAGTTCCCTCTGGCAGTATTAATGGGATACTGTTTAATGATGAGAAAAACAAAATTTTAAAGACGCAAGGTTTATTGTGAAATTTTTCAACATGGAACAAGACAAACAAGCTTCAGATACATTGATAATTAAACATCTTTGAAGCAAAAGGGAAATCATATGATCATTACAATACTTCTCAGACCTTTTCATGGATAACCACTTAATTTTTAATTAACGATTATCCAATGTTAGTAAGGTTAAAATTGAAAATGTCCATATTTATGTTTGCTTTGTTGCAGTAAAAGGTGAACAAAGCAAACATAAGACAACAACCAGATTATGGATATATAACATGTCGCTCTTTTTCTACAGTTATGTATTCATTCTGTTGTCAAATATTCCTTGTTTGATTATCGTTAGACATTCAACACATTAGATGTCTCTTAATTCGGAGGTAACATTTCACGACAAGTCCAAAAAACCCACTTGAGAAAGTGAATCTTAAGTTCAAAATTAACACACAAATTGCAAACAACATAAATGTCATGCAAAAACAAATATACAAGTAATGTGGTCATGTATAAAGATTTGCATATAAGATCAATATGAATAAAAAGATATTGATATAATGAACAATAATATTATTGAAACATGCATATTCAATATTTATATGCATGCAACACCTCTGCTGAAGTGGTCCACAATAGTGAGATTCAGTAATGCTATCTCCTGTTTATACACAGGATCTCAGTAATAGGGAATGCCCTGATCAAGAGTACCAAAGTGATATAGTAAATCAAACTCGTAAACAGAGTACACACTTTAAGTAAAACGTTATACTAGGAAAGGTTTAATATCAATATTTACCCAATGTAAATTTCAGCAATGACAAGGAATTTCTCTGTTAGGTATGTTGTAAAACATGATTTGCTGTAATGATAAACTCACCCCAGTTTACAGTAGTAAACCAAAACTTGTAGAAGTAAATCACCCCAGTTTTTTACAGTAGTAAACCAAAACTTGTAGAAGTAAATCAACTCTGAGTACAGACTTGATGTAGTAAATCAATACTGAGTCCAGATTTGTAAACTAATAATTTATACTGAATAGATTTTGTAAACAATAAACACAGAATGGTTGAAGTTTTTGATTAAAACAGTTTTATTGATGTTTTTCTTATCTTTTCTAAAAAGTCACGTGATAAATTTAAAAGCAATGAAGGCATCCCTCTAATTTTGAAATCCACAGGATTTTGATATCACATCTTCTCTGCACCCTCTGAATATATCCCGACAGAAATAGAGAGACAGGGTCAGCTATCTGATGGGTACCACACGTAAAAACGACAGACACGTGTCCCTGAACTTTGAAGGTTACGTACATGCTCATCAGAGATGAAAGGCCATCAATTTAACCAGTTCATGTGCGATTCAACTTTATCTTGATTCAAATCACTACACAGAAATAAAGAACTAGGGTTTGTACCTTCTACAAGGTGGCACATACAAAGACTTTGATTCTGTCACGACATATGCAAAGGGTGCAGAGCAGATATTCGAGTTGAACCCTAAGATTCTGAAGATGGCATCCCACACTGGCGTAACATAAATTAGCAGCAATACGGGTGTCTTACACAGGGCAGTGATATAAAACAAGCAGCAATGAAGGTGTCCCACAGACAGCCTGTTGGTGTAATACATCAAATAGCACGGCTACCTGCCCTCTTGGCAACAATACATCAAAATTTGAATACAACATCAACTGTCACTATTGCACTTTGCCGCAGGAAATTTTCATTCATGTGGTCTCTCACTGTTCAAACTTTTTCTTTGAGGATCTAAAAGAATGAAGTAAAACACATCAACATTTAGGATTTCATGGTCAAGATTATTATTTGATCCTTGATTTAAAATATCTAGATATCGAACATCCTTAATTTGATATAGCAAAATATTATTGTTGTTTTGATGCAGCTAGGTTTAACAGCTAAATATAAGATAAAAATAAAATCTAAAATTAATGTGTAATGCAAGACTATGCAAACAGGACATTAATTCTCTCAAAGAAAATGGAGATGCTTACTTTTTCTTGCTCTTTGGAGATGTAGACTGGAATACACTACTGGCAGCCATGAGGTTTTCTATGTACTGACCCAGCACCTGGTTCTCCGACTTCAGCTTCAGATTCTCCTCCTTTACAGTGTCCACACGTGATGACAGGTCTGTAACCAGGGCAAACAAACATAACGGGAAGGTAATCAAGACAACAAAATATTATACGTCTGTTATCATGTCAACACAACAGGATCATAGCTATAAAAAAAGTATAATATTCTATAAAGAAGTTTATACTTTTTAGTTTGGATATCAGTCATATAAACCATATGATCTCACATATACTTAAACTACCAATATAAAAACAAAAAAAATGGCTGATTCTATCTGCTTTTGTTCATTTTGGTTGAATTTGCAATTCGTATAGAGAGTGAAGTCCTTTGTCATTAATAGAGCTTTTTGTATCGGCCAATCTGATTAAAATCATCTGTTACATGGCTCCGCCTGAACATCTGAATGTGCCCCGGTCAGGGTCACGTTCAAGTGACCTTTAGATGAACCAATCAGAGGCGCACTGGCAAAATTTGCCAGCGAATCGGAATATCATGGTCGATACATAAATAGCGAGGGGTATCGAACAGATTAGTTTTCCAAGATTGATTGGTCAAAATTTAATGAGTATTTATAAATATAAAGGTCACCTGAAAGTGACCCTGACCGCGGCATACTCAGATGTTTAGGCGTAGTACGAAGTTAACGAAGCCATGTAACATATGATTTTAATCAGATTGTGTATCGGCAGACCCGACAGAGAATTAAAAGTTGTTTGTATAAGTAAAAGTGACCTACCATCCAGTGTATTCTGTAGCTCCATCACCTGGGCGATGAGGCGCTGCTTCTCTTCCTCCTCGTCTGGGTTCACATCCAGGTCAAGGCCTGCATTTGAAGTAAAAAATCAACCACATTAAAAAGGATATTGAATAGTCGCACATTAGAAATGATATATATTTTCGAACATCTGTGTTTTCCTCTGGTCACAGGAAAATATCCTCTTCATCAGGATGATGAATTACTGTATAATCTGTACAGATAACGTCAAACCATTTAATTTGATTCACTCAATTTAAGCATTGTGCAATCTGGCATATCTAACTTTCCAACACAGAAAACATACAGAGTCTTGACAAATAGGTGACTGGCCAGACATGGTTTTTATATAAGGTTATATAAGTGTTAATATGATATAAAAAAAATCACTAAATGGTAATTGTGAAATTATGATGATGGCACACAACCATAATTCAGTGTTACAAATTTACCACTGAAAAGTAATATTTGAAGTTTATTTAACATAAATTCAAGATAATTTTTCATGCAACATTTATTTGTTGGTCTCTGTGGGAAAGGTTTATATCACACAGGTGTTAATGGACTTACTGCTGTAAGTGTCTGTCCGAACTTCCCCAGGGTTGATGAATGGATGGTCAACAGTTTTCACATCTCCTGGAAAAATTTCATCAAATAAACAGGTGAATTAAGTAAATACAAATTATCAATTTTGTCACTTTAAGTATCAAACAACAATGCTATTTCTGAATATTTAAGATAGTAAACCATCTTGAAGAACTTATACAGTACAATTTGTAAGCTACTGGGTTCAACACGTACATAATCCTGAATGTTAAGAATATGCATTTTAATCTTTTTATGTACATTTTACCAACACAGAAAAGAAAAAGAAAAAAAATCACTTTGTGTAAAAAAAATATCTTTTTTTTCCTTCTAGAGACAAGTTTGTTTAAATATTCCAGAAAGAAGTTTGATACAGAGGGATTCTCAATCTTATAGAACTTTAATCTCTGTGTTACGTCTATCACTGATGGCCAGTTTCTGATAAGTCATTTTCCAAATCGAACACTTATGCTCTCTATAATATCACATATTTTCTCTGCACCCTTGGATTTTGTCAAGACAGAATTGAAGTCCCTGTACACACCACATTGCTTAGTTAACTAGACCTGCACACCTCCTTCATGGTATTGCATAACGATAAAGCAGAATAACCAGATGTTTTTGTACAGACTTCAGTGATAATGACCTTTGACCTTGTAACTTCAAAATCTAGAAGTTCCTCATAACCATTAGAAAACGGTACTCTTATAAGGAAATAAGAGTATTGACTAATCCTATTAAATTTCAAGGTCTTCCAGGCAAATAGATATAAATAATCACTGATACATTATCCATAAAATAGATTTTATCTTATCACAGAAAAAAAGTATCCAATCCCATGTTTCTATGGGAGTTACAGTTTTTGACTGTGATATGGGGACATCCTTAAATCTATTTTAAAAGAATCAGTGATTATCTCCCTTTACATGTGATACAATTCCAAATTCCTCCAAAAAACCCCAAAAGAGCAACACCAGGATACACATTATTATGTACATACCTTTCCTTGTCTTTTTGCAGAAGAAAATTAGGGATTTGTCAAACTAGTATAATGATCATAGCATAATGGGGGATTTCAAATGCAAGAGGTAGTAAACAGACAACTCCTTTTGAAGTTTCAAGTTAAAATTCTTAAAATGATCTAAGAATTTGTTAGTCTAAAATTGTAAATGGAGAAAAGATTGCAACAGAAGTGAACTACAACAATCTACTATGATCAAGTACACTTCTGCCAATCCTAAGAAATATCTGTGTGTTGTCTTTTCTCTCTTGAACGGGATTTTGGGAATTTAAAGAGTAATAAGATGACTGTATGTGTTCACTAATAATGATGCCATTCAGGGGCACCTGGACACCTCAAACAAGTCGGACAGACAGCTCACTCATTATTCTTGCAATAGACTTATCAAAGGTGCCTAAAACAGACACAGGGGATCAAAAATATACGACATGTGTGCAGTCAGTTAATAGATGCTCCAAGATTTTATTTAATATATTGGACCATCTAATATCCCCTTTCACATAAGTTTGGACTTTATAGCTGAGCAAGCTAATTATTTACCTGCTCAGCTGGGGATGTATATGTATAAGCAGAAATTCTATCAATGCATGTTCATGACCACCCCTGATCCACTGTAGCGGAACTAGACTTGGTCGTTCATTGGCGACCAGGTAGCTCAATTGGTAAAGCGTCCATCTAGAGTTTGGAAGGTCCCGGGTTCAAACCCCGGTCTGGCTGGCATTCTCCCTCTCCTAACTTACAGTGGTGCATGTGATCACCCAACCCTTGTTTCAAGTATTGGTGTATGCTTGGCAAGGGGACATTTATATTGAGTCTTGGGACCACGGGTACTTAATAAGTCTTTTCTGTAAATACACTAATGTTAATATTATGGGTGTACCCGTGTTAGGACAGTCTTTACAGACTTACTGTGACAAGACTGACCCGAGTACCAGTAGAAAGGCCCAAAGCTCTAATACGACTGAATTTAGGCCATCAAGAACTGTAATCTTCCTCTTTACATTACTACTGCAAAATGTCAACTGCAATAATCGTTATTTACATCACATCATTCAAATTGTGGAGTTCTGAATAAGAGACTGTGTACAGAATATTCGCTGTACTTGTAACCAGACAACATAATAAATTATCGCATGCATACAAACAAATGAGTCGAACCTGTGTCACTATCGCTAGAAAGAGGCACGTTAAAGAGATTTTCTTTGTTGGTTCCCGTGGACATTGTGCTGTATTCTTGTGCCCGTATTTATACAAGACCAGGCGAAGATGGCGATAAATCGGCGACTTCAGATGCTGGACAGGTCCCAAGGCAAGCCTCACAGTATGACTCAACAGTCAACAGGCAGTCTGTAGATGAAACAGAGAGATACAAAATGACGCATTATACCAGGAATTAATAACCGTATAACAATACTGAAAAAGATATCAAGCAAACATTTAAACGTGAAGTAATATTTACAATATACTTGCTTAACATTTACAACTAACATCAGTCGCCATATTGGATTTTTATTCAAGTCACATGACTGTGACGTCACGATAAGGTGCTCGTTCACACACGAGTTCATTCAAGCTGTCAACAAACCACGAGGAATGTCGACTGAGAGTGACAAGCCTTAAAATGTCGGACGCTACCTCGACTGTCTCGCGGACTCCATAACGACCGGAATCAGTCATGTCTCTCACTTGTAAGTAGAACTATTTCACACAAATGATTAACAGCGGTGTGTATTTTAGAGTTTATTTATGTTTTGGAGTATGAGCGAAAAAAGTGAAAAAAAATTGGCCTGAGAAATTAGTAGGATATATATCGCTCTGATTGTCAGTGGCCCACTTGTCACACCTGTGTGCTTTTGCTTTTGTTATAAATCACAGAAACACCTACAACCCTTCCCTTTGTACCGACATCACGGTCATCACATAAACATGCTCCCCAACCACAGACAGACCCCCTAATTCTTCTGTATTTCTCACAGACGGGAGGATAAAGTGATATTTTAGATAAAATCTTTACCCTGCCAAACAATCATATACTAGTTTTTCATTTTTTATTTATCACAGTGGTACAATTGTACTTACAGCATGTCGTGTGAACATTTTATTCATCTTTTTGTTACTTTTTGATGTTGAGTATTTACTGATTTTGTTATATTGTTAGTTGGGTTCACTCAGGTATACCATGATTTAATTTTGCGATGACAGGTAGATTTGTTTGTAGGAAAATAATAAGTCGGTGTTAAAGATCTGAGTAAGAGACACAGTGGCACACACTGTCCTATATATCTCAATCTGATAAGGGAAGAGCCCGATGGCAAACAGTGTCCAACACAAGTTATCCCTACATACCTCTTTTAAATTTTAAAACAGTGTTTTGTGACAAATTTGAAAGCCCTATGTATATCTGTGTTGTAAGATAAATGTTTTTGAGATATGCAACACATGTCAAAACACGACATGGTGTCTAATGTGATGACCCAGATATGTTACAAGATATATAGACACTTGTGTTTTTTTAACAATAAGTAAATATTTAAACTATTTCAAGTCAATTTTTACGAAAGTCAACAATTCTGACGTGCTAGCCTGCCAGGTTATGTGTAAGTGTACCATTTAGTCCCACAGGACAGGTGAGATTATTAAGTGGTGTAACGATATATCATACTGGAACAGTAGTAGGTATTTCTAAGTCTAACCAAGGGATTAGTAACCTACAGGCCGGACAGAGGGTGTGTGTGTACTATTTACACAAAACCCTGAATTACCCATATGTTTATACATATCACACCCAAACTATAGTATTTCTAAAGCTTAATGATAAAAGAAATGAGCACTACTAGTTTTTTGTTTTTTTATTACAACTGATTAAAAACAAAAATGCATATCAAAATTATTCTGTATATAAGTGAAAATCATTACTAAAATTTAGTATTATTTTCCTAGAGAAGCAACTGTAAAACTGTCATTAAATAAATAGCTTATGTATACAGCTTATATAACGTTAACTACACCAGTGATACACACATACCACTTATACATAGGTATTAGGTAGCATTAGCACATATTAACATGTTTGATAATAGGAATAATATTGGCAACCTCCAATTACACACTGTATAGTAGTTACACACTGTAGAGTAATACTTGAGTTTGTTATAATGAGGTGGTTTTACACACAACCATGAGTACTTAATACAGTCCAACATGCTGATGTGACCACCTCTGTAAACAGACCATCTGTGTTAAGAGACATCTTTAAATGTTCCTCATTGTAGCAAATTTATTGTAAACTGAACTTGTGTTAAGATACCAGTTTGGTTACTAATAGAGATCACTGTTTAAGGACCCACTGAGGGTGATCTCTTATAACAGGTTTGACTGTAGTTAGATATTTATTTAGATGTTTCTTCCTAGCACAATCACATCGTTCAAATTTAAAAATGGACTACATTTACATAACTCTTCACAGGTACAAGTTTACTTCTTTTAAATATATTCTCCTCAGTCATAGAGAGCCTTTCTATCAGTTATGATCAAATTATATAGATATCCAATACATCATATTGAGTAACACTTCGCTGTCGTCATAACTGTGAGGTAATTGAAATAAATAGATCTGTCAATCTGTATTTTATGGTTGGCAGGTCTTGTAACGGTGTAGCATACATGCTAACCTCTTAATTTTTCTTCTGTAGGCCTGCCAAAGAAGTTAATTCATATTTTAAATTTGTGTTTATGATTATAAGTTGAAACTAAAAATACAGAAGGGTCAGTAAGTTGTAAAGTATTTTTTTCAATCGGTCTACTATTTCTGATTACAAACTGATCATTGATTATGATTATCAAATGACTGCCTACCAATATATGTAGGATTTAGTGATGTTGTCACATGTTCTACTGATCTTGAAGTTGAAAATCACAGTATATAAGACTTTGCTTATACGTAGTGACAGTGCCCTATATAGCTGGAAACCTAGCATTACTCTTCAATAGACCTACAATTCATACCGTCAAATAATACAATCAGTACAATTCGATGATTTCGAAGATTTCAAAGGAACTTGCCTTATCATGCATTCAATACTAGTCCTATGCCACCTGGTTTGTACCTCCAGGTATGTGTATGTCACCTAACTGCAATGATGAAGCAAAAGATACAGTGAGCGCAGCACCGACCCAAAACCATTTTATACCCCACCTAGGTTATTTGAGCAGATTAGGAAGGAGTCACTTTCCCGGAAAGTCCATGTTACAATGTCAGTCAGTGTGAAAGGCCAGTTTACCTATATCTGACAATTTCTAGGTGAAAAACTCTGTAACAAAATCTGAAAATGTCTTAAATATATGTACCAGCACCACTGTCAGTCAAAATAAGTTAGGTGTTCATTGTAAATGAATTAATTGAATTTAAGCAAAACTAAAGGTTTTGTATTTCAATTTGAAAGTGAATGTAAAAATTGTCTCATTCCAAAATATAGAGAATTTGCAAGTCCTGATTGCAGATTATTGGTCCTGTAATAAATTGGTTAAATAATAGTGAATCAACCTGGTTCAGTTTACAGGTAGATATATGTGCAATTCAAAATCAGTTTTATCGAGAAATTGAAGAAAAAAAAATTAATTTATTTGTCATTTGAATTGCCGGATTGATTTCAATATCAAATTTAAATTCTAAACCATGGTATCTATTTAAATGTAGAAAGAGAAATTAAATACGCTATAATATCATCAATCATGCATGAGAAATAATGCAGAAATTGACAGGTGACCTTTCAGACTATCAATATATACACAACTTATTACTTGCCCTATAGATCTGTTCTAATAAAATATGTTGCTGGAAATGAAGTATATATTTTGTTTTGTAGCACCATATCTAGTAGTCCTTCACTGTGTATGTATATACGCTTACCAAATTTAGCCATTAAATGGTTAAGATAGTCAAATTAGACAGAGTTCAGAGGTCACAGTAAACTAATTGACAACCCATGGATTGTACTGCAATCTGTAGGATGTCCAAGGTCACAGTAAACTATAAGACAGTCCTTGGATTGAACTGAAGTTTGGCAAAGGTCAAATGTCACAGTAAACTATTAGCCCCTGTATGGTATTGCAGTCTAACTGAGGTCACAGTAAAGTAATAGTCCATTATCAAGTAATTGTACAACAGTCTGTAAGAGAAAAACAATTAGACAACCAGTGTATTGTACTGTGGTCAGTCTGACTTCAGAGGTCACAATTTAAACGTTACAAGGATTGGACTCCAGTCTGTGTTTACAGTGAGCTATAAGCCAGTCCATGTATTGGACTGAAGTCTTGATTACAAAATTTCAGGGGTGAATGAGTTACAGATTCATGTTCTGCAGTCTTAGTTCTGAATTCAGTGACCAGAGTAAACTAATGTTGTATAATACTGTATATATATAAGGCTCTTTTTAAATCTATCTGTATAATACCAGAAGACCTCGATTCCGAGTACCGTATAATATCAGGGTTGGAGGAGTGTGCTTGGGATTCAATTCATTGATAATAGTTTTAAAAGTTTTGAAGTCAGATGTTTTGACCAGATCTGCTGGGAGGTTGTTCCAATCAGTGATGGTACGTGGAAAGAATGAGCTCTAATACATATCAGTATTACACAGAAACTGCCCGAACTTTTCACTGTTTTTAGCAATTGTTTGATGCGGCCATGACTGATCTACACGTATGTCAACTAGCTCCTTCTTACTACTGATCTACATGTATGGCCACTAGCATCTTCTTACTACTGATCTACATGTATGGCCACTAGCTCCTTCTTACTGATCTACATGTATGTCAACTAGCTCCTTCTTACTGATCTACATGTATGGCCACTAGCTTCATCTTACTGATCTACATGTATGGCCACTAGCTCCTTTTTACTGATCTACATGTATGGCCACTAGCTTCTTCTTACTGATCTGCATGTATGGCCACTAGCTCCTTCTTACTGATCTACATGTGTGGTCTCTAGCTCCTTCTTACTGATCTACATGTATGTCAACTAGCTCCTTCTTACTGATCTACATGTATGCCAACTAGCTTCTTCTTACTACTGATCTACATGTATGGCAACTAGCTTCTTCTTACTACTGATCTACATGTATGGCCACTAGCTCCTTCTTTCTGATCTACATGTATGGCAGCTAGCATCTTCTTACTTCTGATCTACATGTATGGCCACTAGCTCCTTTTTACTGATCTACATGTATGGCCACTAGCTTCTTCTTCCTGATCTACATGTATGGCCACTAGCATCTTCTTACTTCTGATCTACATGTATTGCCACTAGCTCCTTCTTACTGATCTACATGTGTGGTCTCTAGCTCCTTCTTACTGATCTACATGTATTGCCACTAGCATCTTCTTCCTTCTGATCTACATGTATGGCCACTAGCTCCTTCTTGCTGATCTACATGTATGGCCACTAGCATCTTCTTCCTACTGATCTACATGTATGGCCACTAGCTCCTTATTACTGATCTACATGTATGTCAACTAGCTCCTTCTTACTGATCTACATGCATGGCCACTAGCTTCTTCTTACTGATCTACATGAATGGCCACTAGCTCCTTCTTACTGATCTACATGTATTGCCACTAGCATCTTCTTCCTTCTGATCTACATGTATGGCCACTAGCTCCTTCTTGCTGATCTACATGTATGGCCACTAGCATCTTCTTACTGATCTACATGTATGGCCACTAGCTCCTTCTTACTGATCGACATGTATGGTCACTAGCTCCTTCACAACTTTATAGAAGAGGACAAGTCGATGGTCCCTTCTGCTATCCCGGAGTGATGGTAGTTTTGGGGCATCCAGCATTGACATCGCACTGCTTCTTCTCCGGAAATCAGATGTTATGAACCAGGCAGCACGACGTTGTATCATTGTTTATCCTAAATCATCTATATATTGCCATACTTCAAAAGATAGTACAGTAAATTGTGATCTTTGTGATAAATATCATAAGAAAAAAACTCATTAGGGGACTGTTTGGACTCCAACCTGCAGATGGACGGCTCCTACCTTTATATTGACATGTAGACTAGCTCCTACCTTTATATTGACATGTAGACTAGCTCCCTACCTTTATATTGACAGGAAGACTAGCTCCCTACCTTTATATTGACATGTAGACTAGCTCCTTACCTTTATATTGACATGTAGACTAGCTCCCTACCTTTATATTGACATGTAGACTAGCCCCTACCTTTGTATTGACATGTAGACTATAGCCCCTACCTTTATATTGACATGTAGACTAGCTCCTACCTTTATATTGACAGGTAGACTAGCTCCCTACCTTTATATTGACATGTAGACTAGATCCTTACCTTTATATTGACATGTAGACTAGCTCCCTACCTTTATATTGACAGGGTAGACTAGCCCCCTACCTTTATATTGCCATGTAGACAAGCTCCTACCTTTATATTGACAGGGTAGACTAGCTCACTACCTTTATATTGACATGTAGACTAGCTCCCTACCTTAATATTGACATGTAGACTAGCTCCTTACCTTTATATTGACATTTTTTTCATTTGTTACTCTTGCAGTGTATTTGTTTTGCCATAATTGCCAAGGCATATCTTTATCTAATGGAAATTGTAAAAGAGGCAACTGTTAGGGAAAACTGTCTAAAATGGATATGCTGTGAATTACAAAAGGCTCAGGTATATAAATATTATATTGTTGTCTTGACCTGCATGTTCCATCATTAACTTTGAGGTACATCATGAATATGTTGACCTATAAATTGCTTATGGTAAATGGGGTTTACTGTTTGACTCTGAACAGCAGAATTTTCATTGGAAAGCTTTATAAACAAACCTGAATTGACTTTTTAAAGCAACATCCAGTTATTTTTCAACTGTAGTGACACTGGAAAGTTAGTTTAAAAGGTCTTGAGCAGAAAATATTCAGGGGTTTCATTGGGTAATAAATACACTTCACAGTAAACATTGATTTATCCTCATGTGTACCTCACGACCTCAGGTGTTGTTCCATTTTATACTGTCAGTCCTACTCCTTCCAGAAGGAAAGTAGCAGAGTATCCAATTACCTGTGTAAACTATGTGGCTCACTGCAGATAAGTAGCTGTAGGCATACTGTCTGTCATGGCCGCCATATAAACTAATGGAAATCTAAATACTCCATAATACTTGTAATGAACCTTGTCAGCTGTATCCCTCAAGTCTACAATACTCAACAATCAAGCGAAAGATAAATTAGGGTCAATTGTCTCTCCCTGACCTGTCTTCCTACAGCCGATTGAACGCATCATTTACACAGGACAACTCTGGGTGACAGTGTCAACATAGACTTCTTGGTTCATTAGTGTTAAAATATGTGACAGATATATGCAAAGCTTTGTATTGTAAATATTTACACTAGGACAAGACTTAAACAAAATGTATTAATCCTATAATTTGTATAGTAAACTAAATAGTGTAACAGTGTAGAAAGTTGTGCGTTAATATGGTATGCTAGCCAGTGTATTGAAGACAGAATGTTAGTTATAGATACTACATTAAGTTGTTGTTACACCACTTAATAGTATACAATGTATGTAGAACTAACTCCATTATTATTGTCCACCACCTTTTTCATTAAATGACATCTCCTCCCAAACTACTGAACAAACTTCAACCTAATAAGGTATGCAAATAAAGGGACTGACCGTCCTCATGGTTGAGGGCCTGGGTCAAAAGTGGTCGAATAGGTGGACTTGCCTTAAAATCCAAAACTACTTAGCAGATTTCAACCAAATTGTAGTAGAAACATGCTTATTCCATTGGGATAAAATGTTTAAAATTAAATGGGATTTTCGTCCTGGAGGCTAAAGGGCTCTTAAGTATCTTGCACTGTTTTGTCTCCTTAGTGAGTGAGATTTTACATTTTACCCACCAGCCACTTAATTCAGCTGTTCATTTCTCAGTGTAAATCATGCTTTGTCCAGATCATAACTACTGAACCGCTGAAACTATGTTTACTTTAGTAAGAGAGCTAAGTATCAGGACAAGACGACTATGTCATGCTCAGGGGTGTAGGATAGGGAAATTACACCCAAGGGGTTTTAAAACTGGGTAAAATAATGTATTTCTACACCATGATAAGTTTAAATGCAAATAATTTCACATGACGTGGAGATTTCCACTTCTACAGTACACAACTCAGAAATCTCTAGAATGTAAATTGAATGAATAAGTCATAAAATATTGTATAAAACGTGAAAGTCTTGATAATCCAAGAGCCTGAACAAACTCAACAATCTTGGATTTCTATATACATATGGATATTTGGCCTTGGAGTGACTGTTTATAATGTTGTGTACTTTTGTGGGAGTATATTTTATCTAGACCTTGGAAGTGTCTTGTTGTGAGTGTGATTATATTTTGTTTATACATAGTAAATACCTCTCCTGAATAATTGGAATATTATCTTTATTAAAATATTGACTCTTTTTTCAGAAGTGGACGAGCCAGTTCAACTGATGTAGGACTTTGCGGACCAACGTTTCATTTGTGTAGTGTGTTCTGGTTTGTTGAGAAAAAATAACTAGAGACAAATGGAAATTAATTAAACATAACGAGCTGATGGTGGCATTATCGTTGTTGTGTGGATTACTATTGGGCCGGGTGTTGTGTTGCCACAGAGGCCACAATGGCCAACATCAACCTGCTCAGTCGCATTAACAACGGTCTGCCGGAAGGTTGGGAGGCAAAGCTGACTGTTGACCACGGCAGAATCTACTACATAGAGTAAGTATTGAGCATTGTCCACGTCCTCCGAGAGGTGGGAACGTTCCCATGTCTATACTGATGTACAGCTCTTAACAATTACTGATAAGTGGTAAGTTCATTGTTAAATGTTCAAATACTATGGTGGCTAAAGGCTTATGATGGCCAAACATGGCCAGGCAATTTACACGTCTAATATGCACTCGACTTGTACAGTTTTCAAGACATGTACAAGTATTTAAATCACACATCTAATGACCATTAATGAAAATTCAATATGTGTTCATTGAGCTAGTTGTGGCCGTGTGTCTAGTGTGTTACAATGCAGATGAAGTTAAGATCTACAAGTAGTAATTTTAACTTACAGATTACCAATCATGGTGTTTGCATCAAGCCCCTGTTATATAATTATGTCAGATTTGTGTATATGTAGAGCACAATGTACTGCAGTACCCAGACAGTGTGAACAAAAGACACACAGTACATTATGCAGACAGGAATGATAAGCTTTTTGTTCGGTGTTTGTTATTCTATACCTTAATTTTACAAAAGCATGTTTCCAACTTCCTAGATTCAGTATAGCGATATTTTTATTGAAATTGGTAAGGTATTTCCTCATATTTGCTTCATGTTAGGAAAATAAAACAATTTTTCTTTGTGGGAAGCAGCTGGTATACGGCTGTAATACTTAAGGCCAAAATAAGTCACTGTTGTAGTTTGCAATATATTGCAATATAGACAGGTACAATACATTGATCATATTACAAAATAACATGTTATGTAGACAGGTACATGTAGGATACTTTGATCGTAGTATATGTAAGGTTGAAAGTGTACCTCACTAAACAGACCTGAGAATAGTCTGCTAGGCTTTGTGTGATTAACTCAGGGCAAGTTGAGATAGCCTGTAGTTACAGTTCTGTGTAGATAGGGAGAACTCCCTGATTCTCCAGGCCACCCCTACACAGTACTCTGTCGGTAGGGAATACTCCCTGGATCACAAGCTATAAGGCCACCATCACATGTCAAACAGCTACAGATTGACCCCCAGATGCTGCAATCTCTCATTGAACCCTCCAAGAAACAACCTACTTGGGCCAAGTTGGCCTGTAATGCTTGTAGTGTCACAAAAACTCACCTCTATAACATGTATAAGGTCATAAAGTCTTAATATTTCATAGATGGTGAACTTACAAAATCCACACAGGATCAGTCTAACACTTGAAGAAGGTCACCCCTCCAGACACTGATACAGCATTGCAGGGTTTTAGTTTGTTGTCACTCCCACGTAACTATGAGAGAGATAGGCCTCAGCCTCCAGGGTTAACTTGTATCTGGTATGTAACACTATGGTAGATCTAACAGTGGGATACAGGCAAGGTAGATGTTTTTGTAAGATGTTGAAATAAACTCTTCAGTTATAAAATGGGATTTGGAGGATTACAGAGACAAGTTATAAGATGTGTATTTATATAATTATAACCAACAGAACTACTGGGATTCAGTGCCACAACCCACTTGTTTCTGGGGCTGATCATCATCAAAATCCACAGGAAAAGTGTTATTATCAGCAATAAGGAAGCTCTTATCAAATCATTTTCTATGTTTAGGTCAGGGTGTTCAAATCTTATTTACCCATCACCACTTGGGTAGATAATGTGTATCATTAGGAGGCTTGTTATCAGCTTGTCTTTCCTACACCCACCTGTATCACAGTCTGTATTTAAACAGCCATCACGCCTACTGTCTATCACTTAAGGTGCCTAGCCCCACTCTCTCTCTCTCACAGACATCACTTAAGGTACCTAGCCACACTCTCTCTCTCTCACAGAAATCACTTAAGGTACCTCGCCCCACTCTCTCTCACAGATATCACTTAAGGTGCCTAGCCCCACTCTCTCTCACATACATCACTTAAGGTACCTAGCCCCACCATCCCTAACAGACATCACTTAAGGTACCTAGCCACACACTCTCTCTCTCTCTCTCACACAGACATCACTTAAGGTGCCTAGCCCTACTCTCTCTCACATACATCACTTAAGGTACCTAGCCACAAACTCTCTCTCTCTCTCTCTATCTTTCTCTCTCTCTCTCCCTCTCTCTCTCGCTCTCTCTCTCTCTCTCCCTCTCTCTCTCTCTCTCCCACAGACATCACTTAAGGTACCTCGCCCCACTCTCTCTCTCTCTCTCACTCTCTCTCTCTCTCTCTATCCACTTCTCTCTCTCTCTCTCACGCTCTCTCTCTCTCTCTCACTCTCTCTCTCTCTCTCTATCCACTTCTCTCTCTCTCTCTCACTCTCTCTCTCTCTCACGCTCTCTCTCTCTCGCTCTCTCTCTCTCTCTCTCTATCCACTTCTCTCTCTCTCTCTCACGCTCTCTCTCTCTCTCTCTATCTTTCTCTCTCTCTCTCTCTCCCACAGACATCACTTAAGGTGCCTCGCCCTCCTCTCTCTCACACACACCCACTCTCCCACACCCCCCCCCTCTCTCTCTCTCACACACCCTCACTCACACACCCCCCCTCTCTCTCTCTCACTCTCTCTCTCTCTCTCACAGACATCCCTTAAGGTCCCTAGCCACACCCTCTCTCTCTCTCTCTCACACAGACATCACTTAAGGTGCCTCGCCCTACTCTCTCTCACATACATCACTTAAGTTACCTAGCCCCACCATCCCTAACAGACCTCACTTAAGGTACCTAGCCACACTCTCTCTCTCTCCCCCTCCCCCTCTCTCTCTCTCACACACACCTCAAAATATACACCCCCCCCCTCTCTCTCACACACACATCACTTAAGGTGCCTAGGCCCAATCTCTCTCTCTCACAGACATCACTTAAGGTACCTCGCCCCACTCTCTCTCTCTCTCACGCTCTCTCTCTCTCTCTCACAGACATCACTTAAGGTACCTAGCCCCACCATCCCTAACAGACCTCACTTAAGGTACCTAGCCCCACTCTCTCTCTCTCTCTCACAGACATCACTTAAGGTACCTAGCCCCCCCACCCCTAACAGACATCCCTTAAGGTCCCTAGCCACACCCTCTCTCTCTCTCTCACAGACATCACTTAAGGTACCTCGCCCCACTCTCTCTCTCTCTCACTCTCTCTCTCTCTCACGCTCTCTCTCTCTCGCTCTCTCTCTCTCTCTCACTCTCTCCCTCACACACACATACCCCCTCTCTCTCTCTCTCTCACTCTCTCTCTCTCTCACTCTCTCCCTCACACACACATACCCCCTCTCTCTCTCTCACTCTCTCCCTCACACACACATACCCCCTCTCTCTCTCTCACTCTCTCTCTCTCTCACACAACCCTTAAGGTCTCTCCCCCCCCTCTCTCTCTCTCTCTCTCACTCTCTCTCTCTCTCACTCTCTCTCTCTCTCTCCCTCTCACACAGACATCACTTAAGGTGCCTAGCCCCACTCTCTCTCACATACATCATTTAAGGTGCCTTCCCTCTCTATTCTTCACAAAAATCACTGAAGGAGCCTAGCCCCACCATCCCTAACAGACCTCACTTAAGGTACCTAGCCCCGCTCTCTCTCTCTCTCTCCCTCTCTCTCTCACAGACATCACTTAAGGTACCTCGCCCCCCTCTCTCTCTCTCACACACTCTCTCTCTCCCTCTCACACAGACATCACTTAAGGTGCCTAGGCCCAATCTCTCTCTCTCACAGACATCCCTTAAGGTACCTAGCCACAAACTCTCTCTCTCTCTCTCTCTCTCTCTCTCTCTCTCTCTCACATACATCATTTAAGGTGCCTTGCCCCTCTATTCTTCACAAAAATCACTGAAGGAGCCTAGCCCCACCATCCCTAACAGACATCATTTAAGGTGCCCAGCCCCATTATTCTTAAAACTTTAAAGAAATAACTTCAGGTGCCTAGTCCATTATACTTAATAGCCATTTCTCAAGTTGTCTGGCAAAAACTTATTTTTGTCCCAAGTGCATTTTAGCATAAATCAAAAGGGCTCGTTTCCTTAAAATTTAGGAAAGCTGTGAAGATGCCAATGTACAGAAGCTAATCCATGTGGACAGGTCACTAAAAGGCCTGTCATTGGTGTTGTTTATGATGAGCTATCATCTTTGTCATGATTAAGCCAAATGTAGACCCGCTTAAAGATTTTAATTTTGTTGAGGTTGCAATTCCTGGAAAATTTTAAGTTGTGTCCTCAGAATGCATATTTTGAGTCCTCACGTGTCCAACGACAGGCCGTTTAGAGTCCCAGGTTGTCACCGGGGATTCCTCATCATGGTGATCGTCTCCGGCAGCCAATCAATACCACATCTTTTTCTATCAATGCTGTGTAGCCATGCAGACAGCACAGAATGCATCTTACAGTGCTAATAGCCTGTGGCTACACAGCCTAATAAGCTTATAAACTACAGACAGGAGTGTATTGGGTTGAGTGGAACACAAGGGCTATTCATAGAGGTGTCTTATCACCCCTAATTCATTGGAGATCAGTTCAAAGGTCACAGAATGGTTGACCCGCCTCAAATGGTCATATATGATGTCCACTATAGGATCTACCACTGGTTGCATATATATTTTATGTGTGAGAGGACTCTGTAAGTGACAAGTTAAGTGGGCCCAACTGTGTACTAGGGTACTATAAAGTGTGTATTGGTGGAACCATAAATTGGGACTGATGTGTTATATGTATCAAATAAATCTGCCTATATTGTGGGGAAATTATCATTTTTTTGTTGGGAATGAAATTCTAAACGGGCTGATTTAACATCCGAGGAGAAGCACATGATAAATGAGGACTGCTTTGTCAGGGTCTGCTCTGATCATACAGGACAGATAGAGATCTTGACCTCTCAACGCTTTCAAAGTCACATTGGCAAATATTGTTGGAAAGGCTATTACGTGTATAACTCAAGTAGGACCTTTATATCAACTGAACCCATTGGCAGTTTACCCCTTAAACATGAAAGTAAAACATTCTCCATTTCTGGAAAATGACATGTCCGAGACATTAGTGTTGAATACATTATCATATGAATCA